CTTAAATAACATAATAAATTTAATAACTGAAACTTAACTATTTTAACTGAACCTAGCTAGTTAACACAACAGTTTAATTAACATTAAAAAACATTAATTGTTAAGATTAACAGAACACTGAGAATAGTGTCTATGTATGTAAAGGATTTATTTATTAATAACACTATCTGATGACCTGACAACCGTCAATTCATAGATTTATAATATTTATTTATTTACTTATTTTAATGAAATTATTTTATTTTTTTAAATTTCAAGGAAATCCAGTAAGTAAATTAATAAAGTTAATTATTAGCTAAATTAAATTAAATTAAAAAAAATTCTTATCCGCATTTTATGATCTTTTTCAAGAATCAATAACGACAAAACATCTGAATTTATACAATCTTTTAAGCATAATTTAATCAAATTATTTACTTAATTATATTTTTTGAAATTAAACAATCTCTTCTTCCTTTCGTGCTATCGCACAACGTTAGTGGAGTTGGAAACACGAATAAAACTTTTCAGTAAGTAAGACAGTACAAAAAGTTTTGTATTAATTGCCTACCATTTGTGTATGTAACCATACAGTCCGAATAGTTTAGTATGTCTTCGTCTGGTTATATATGACTATAATTGTAGTTATTAGTATATATATATATATATATATATATATATATATATAATTATTCATCGATATATACTTTATATAGCTAAAACTAGCAACTAAACTACGTATTTTAATCAAATGAGACGTCACTTTGATAAACATGGTATAAATAAGATATCTTCAAATTATTTACTATGATATATAACTGATTTTAAGTGTTGCATATAGTTGATTCATTAGTTTTTAGAAAAAATGGCATAACTGAAATTTGGCAGACTTATAGAACATGCTATACATGATTCTTTTTAAAGCCTAAATTAAATTAATCTGTGTGATTTTTTGACTGAATAAACTCCAAAAAGTAAAAATTTTCAATCAAAATTCTATCTAAACCATTGAATTATATAATTCCATGATCTAAACAAATATTTCTACGTATTCGTTAGTTTTAAATCCTTAAAAATAGAAAATTTTAAATATTTGTAGAGCATCGAAGTGATCAGATGAACAGCCACAGTTAAACGAAGAACTGCGGTTATTTACGGCGCATAAATCCCATAATCCATTTTCTCGTCATCGTGAAAAAATATTTAACATTTTTTAATCCGTTGAAAAAATCTTTTAAAATTTCAGTACTAGCATGTTTAAAAATTTGATCATAACGTAACGATTTCAGTTATTGAATAAAATCTTTAACTTCCAGTACAGTAATTTAGTGCTAGCAAACAATACAAAAGAAATAGCTTGCAACCTGAAAAAACATTATCTGTATCCTGACATAAACACACCACTCAAACTTACACACACACACAAATACCAAATGTATAGTAGAAACCAAGCTAAAACCCATAAAAAACCACTAGAAAAGGTAATCGAAATGCAATTACTTTAGCAATCAGAATGAGCAATTGACAGACGATTAATTCCTGCTAAATTTATACCCATTTGAAAACACGATCGAATCATAAATATATGGAATTTATAATTAGCATACATGATCATGTCATAGTACTGAATGCTACGTTTTGTGCGTATTTACGATAACAAGATCCTAGAAATCTAATATAACATGGGGATAATATAATATGGGGATTTCACCACTTCAAAATGAAATGATTTTTGAATATTTTAGATAACCTTTATGATCTTTGCACCATGAACACACGCACGAACGCACACAAATGAAAGTTCACTAAATTTGCTCAAATCATTCATTTTACAATAATAATCATTAATTCAGAAATTAATAACATTTGTATTAATTTTTATTTCGAAAAAGTGACACACACATGCTCACATACGTACACACACACACACACACACACACACACACACACACACACACACACACACACACACACACACACACACACACACATATATATATGTTAAAACCAAATCATTGACGAATGACGCCAAAAGCCAAGCGTCTGACTAAATTTGATTTGCTATAACGTCACTCAACCCCGTCGGCATTCAACTCCACATTTTCCAACACACAGACGCGCAAAATATATATATATATATGTATGTATATATTTTTACAATATTCTATAAATTCTACCGAATGTTTGGCGTTAATATGTTTGTAGTTCGTTTTTTCGATTTTTCTCACTAAAGTTTTTTGGTGAACGTTTAGTTTATTAAAATTCAAAATAAACTTATTTTTCGAATTCATGCTGCAAATAAGGCCATCATTCGGAAGAATTTATAGAATATTGTACAAATTATGGTCTATTACCAACGTATGTATATATATATATATAATAAAATTGAAAAATTATTATATTAAAATATATATGTATAGGATAGTACGTCTATTTTGTGCTAATCAGTGCATATTTTCTTAACGAGAAAAGTGCCAAAAAATATATTAAGTTACTATGGATACACGCGCGCGCGCACACACACACATACATACATATATATAGAGCCCACAAGAATTATTTTCTTTTTAGGGTCTCCGAATCATTCATGCTTTTTTTTTGTTTGATTAAATAAAAGTGATTAAGTTATATATATATATATATATATATATATATATATATATATATATATATATATATATATATATATATATATATATATATATATATATATATATATATATATATATATATATATATATATATATATATATATATATATATATATATATATATATATATATATATATATATATATATATATATGATTTGGTTTTAACCAAGGCAACTGCAGCAATTCAAAGCATGTTTGCATTTAGCATTGTTTGTGGAAAAAATATACCATGACCATCATATTATAACAAATCGGTTGTATTTAAACCAAATTATATGCAATAGAGAATTAATCAATTATACAAAACCAGATTGTAAACCGAATTATAGGCAATATTAGTACGTGAATAATGTAATTAAATAAAGCTAGATTGTGACAACCGTGATGCCAGAATGAAATTTTAAAAATTGTTGAGTAACGCTGAAAAAAGTATATATATTCATATATATAATCTTTATTATATATATATATATACACACACATATATATATATATATATAATTAACCCGACACCGTTTTTCTGAAAAATAGTGTAATAAAATTATTGTGTTATAATAAAGCCTAAATGTAAAATACATATTTATATTTTTTCAACTATAAAGTAACATGATCGTGATAGAAATAATTAGCTGAAGTTATGCAACAGTCCTATAAATAAAAATCATTTGGCGGAGAATAATCTTTTATTACGTAATACTAGGACCAAAGAATCAGTAACAATAAGCAAAAATAAAACAAAAACATTAACACTCAAAATTAAAAAGATAGAATTAAAATAAAAATGTATCTTTTATATCAAAAAAATAATTTATTAATAAATTTAGTTTAACAAATTCCGAAATAAAATCAGCTGAATAACATAATATAGTAGTACGAATAATAATCAACAACAGCAAGCAAGTGCTTTTATATGACAAGCGTTAATGTTTCATTTGGCTTAACTAGATTCAAAGTTGAAGCAACAAGGAAATAAACAAAAAACACATATACACAACACACACACACACACACAAACATACATACAAACATACACACACACATCAACAAACTCATTCAAACATACTATCATACACACACACATCAACAAACTCATTCAAACATACTATCACACACACACACACACACACACACACACACACACACATTTGACAACTAAATAATTATATAAAGACATATAAAATGAACATATACATACATAAACCTATAAAAACAAACAGCTGAAGCAATTAAAAAAAATTTTTTAAATGTAGCAACAATAATAATATTATCAATTATAATAAATAATATAAACAATTATGTCTATTATTATTATTATAAATAAATATGGCGGAAAAAAGCAAAAATATAAAGATAACAGTATGAAATATGGACCAAAAGCACTAGAGTGTTCATAAATTAGTGTTTCCCACAGACATGTTCAAATATATTTAGTATCTTAACAAGATCTTAACAAAACGAACAAAAAAAGACAAACAATTCTGTAAAAACAAAACAAACCAGCAAACATAAAAAAATACAAAAGATCAATGATAGAAATGTGTTGCAAACAAAAATAAAGTGACCAGTCAACTAACGACTACTATATATATATATATATATATATATATATATATATATATGTGTGTGTGTGTGTGTGTGTATATACACATACATATGCATGACTGTAATGGCACAAAAAAATACTAAATGATGAGCTAGATGAATACTTATAATATAAAATTATATATATATCAATAGAGATATATATCAATATAGATATATATGGCATAATTGGATTTTGACAAAAGTATTAGTAATAAAAATTTTGAACATAAGAAGACATACTAAACTTACGGACTTACTTCAACAATTATACTATTAACTACTAAACTTACGGACTTACTTCAACAATTATACCATTAACACACGAATGTATGTTTTGTATTGTATAAAGCACTAACTATAATATATGTGTATACAAATATACATAATGCATACATGTATTCTCTCTCTCTCTCTATATATATATATATATATATTAAATATATATTATAATATATAGCAGAAATACCTAGGATAAAAATATTTACTTGTAGACATGATACAGAGATTAGTGATAATACATGATACTAGATGACCATATAGATAAATTTATCTGAAAATAAGTCTACAGTGCTAATGATACCAGTGACATTAAAATATATCTGTATGTATTTTATCACCAATTACAAATTGAATTGATTATTAAGTTGAAAATATTTTGAATGTTGAAAATATTAGGCATGAAACTATATTATATATACTCATCTGATTAACTATTATTTTATCTATAAACCACCTGATATTATAACAAACCAATGCACAATATTGGAATGAGGTCCGTCTAAAACTAGGCAGCCTTGCATTTGACAGGCTTGTCTGGGGAGGATTTTTTACTACCAGGGCCATAAGCTTCATAAAAAAATTGTATAAACAATATAAAATAACTGAAGTACATGAGCCAGGCTAAGATGGCATTCATCAAACTCTGAGCACATTCCTGGTTTTCTAATTTGGCTTTCAAAACTGAAACTGTTACCACGAGACCAAGGACCATTTGAACGAGTTGTAGGCTGGTTATGCTGATACTGACTGCTTTGGGCATCCTTACAATTCGAAGGGCAGTAATAGCATAATAAGTATACATTATTGAATGAATAAAGTAATTCATCGCTCCATACCATCGGCCAGATGACACATGATCAGAATAGGAGTACGCGCAGTAAATCAGGACTGTAACATGGTGGTACCAATGAAGAAATATCACTGGTCGCTTTTTAAAAACTAAAAAAAACGTGTCCCCGAGTTCAACAAATTTGGAGGCAGCAAAGAGAAACGCCCACAGTGCTGTTATTTTATCTTCATAAAAACTATTATCACATATTGAATAATGCCAGCCTTTGATGAAGTAACTATTTTTCCATTCCGGAAACGAGCGATAGGCCCCGGTGATGCTAAAAACGGCTAAAAAAGCGTTCCACAAAAATAAAATATACCTAAGTGAGTAAGGTTTTCTATTTTGCATGAATTTCTGTCCTAAATAAATAAGAAACATATAAATTATGGAAATGGTGAAAGAATGATGCTTCGTCGAGTCAATCCATGTCGTGAATGTTCTGACATCGAACGATCTCTCCGCCTCTTCAAAAAACATCTTGCTAGCTAAGTAATGCTGGCTGGGTGGATGGTTTGGCGTGATCGTTATTTTTTCTCTGTCTAAAATTAAATATTTTAAAAATATTGAATAAAAATAGATCAAATTAAATTTAATCACTAATATAATAATGTTTAAGAAGCTAGACTAACTAATCCTCCCCTAATCTAGCACTATGACTCGATCACATCTACCTCTTTTATCGCCCGCAAAATATTAGCACTAGCGCGCTCTAGCAACGACTGATGGTGCTGTACAGAAGCTGCTTAAAAAGTAGCGTGAGATTTTTTTAAATATTTCCAACATTTGATTTTGAGGTAACCATCTAATTGACCGAAATCATAAACATCATATTGATATTCATATAAATGGTCACATTCTTATCAAGATAATTCACACTGGGCCGTTTGGTTTAGTGAGGTAATCCAATTATCTTTAAGATTATTCTTATCTCCAATTTAGGCAACAAGTGCTGTCGGTTATTCTTGAAAAATTAGCATTGAACATCACATCTTCAAATAAACACACGTGAAGTTAGGCTCATATTGTTCGGTAGCACGTAGCAATGTTAATTCTAAATAATCGCAAATCCTCAAAAGCGACTCAGCTTGCGTTTGAACCAGGAAACAACGTTAACTCGAGCTTTCGGATCATCCATTCGCCTAAAAACCGGTAACTCGATGAAATAAAACAACTTTCCTCAATTTAATGGGCTATTTACTACAAAATTTAAAAACAATTAGAGCAAAATAAATGACAAGTCTGTTCATAACATCTCAAAATAATAGTTTCTTTGCACAAACCATCATTCACGCAACATTGAATTTACATTTGATAATTAATATTCTGTTTCACATTCTTTCAAACTTTGCCTTAATGAAATTCAAACATTACAAAAAAGTTAAAAAAATCGAACACTATATTACTAATAAAAAAATTAAACCATTTTCAACAAATGCTACACGTAAGTCGACTGTTTTAGTATAAGAAAAGAACGGCAACAATAATAATTTTCTTATGCTTAGTAGTTCAATCATCCTGTAATATTTATTCCATCACAAAAATGACCGGACGCTAGCATGTCACCTATCGTCTGTTGTAATTCGTCGTTCCGGGGTAGGCACTGTGAAATGGAGATGGGTGAAAGAAGTTTGGATTAATTAAGTTAATGGATTAATGAATTCAAAAGTTAACCTTCATAACTGAAAAAAAAACAAAATGCTGTTGTATAATGTATTAAAATGCGGCCTCTTTAGAGAATTTTCATATAGAAAGTGACGCAGAAGAATGTGAGCGTCCATAGATTTAACTAGCTTCATTCTTAACGTTTGAACATCTAGCGGGTTCGTGTTAAACAAGGCAAGAATTTATATGCGTATCGAACAACAGTGCTTGAACATAACGTTGATTTGAAAGCATTTGCAGATAGTTTTAAGAAAAAAATTAAATTGATAAAAGATAAAACATGAAATTAAACAAAACCAACACCTCAATCATTATCAAAAATTAACAAATACATACATGCACATACACATACTGAGCTCATCTAAATGTTTATTCCAGTACCAAGTAATCAAGAATAGCCAGTCATCGATATGGAATCGATCACAGTTCAATACGAACTTAGTTCGCTTTTTCGATTTGATACGAATCGAATTCGAGCCAAAATTATTTACCGAGTGAGGTAAACACAAACTTCTCGATCGACACAACTTGCGCATCACTATCGAATGACTGAGTACCAAAATAACAAACGAACCATACTACTTTCGATTAGTTTAGAGCTCGATCGACGACAAATATTTTGTTGCAGTATGAGTAGCAAGGCGAATTTTTCGCGATGACCTGAGAGGTGAGAAAAACTGCCTAGTGTCGTTCAAAAACACGCAAAATATCGCAACCACGACGAAATAAAAAACTTATCAGCAACTCTTATGCCTTACCATTCGTGTGACGATCTTTTATTATCGAAAGTTCTGTTACTTGCATTCAAACGCTCGAGTCGCTCGCCATAATAATACGTCTTGGCGTACTGGTCGAATGCGTATGGATCGCGAAAGTACAGCTCCAAAAGATCCTTGACTTGTTCACTCGCGTATTCTTCTCTCTGCGACGTTGGCGACTGTTGTGGACGCGATGGGACTCCACCACGACGATCGTACGATCCAGAAGATCCATGACGTGAGTACGGGTGCTGACGATCGCCAGAGTTGAATGGTGGCCTACCGAAAGGTGGTCCCCTGAAAAATAAAAACATATTATTTAAAGTTCATAATCTTTTTTGTTAAACTTGCAGGCGTCTCCAGTAGTGTAATGAATACACATGCGGCCATGAATCATGCTTTCAGGTGCCTTCAAATACAGCACTAACACACAGCACATCTTTTAATTATTGTGCTTACATAATGTTATGTTTGCTTATTAGCAAGCAAATACAAGATTGAACATGAGCATAAAATTAGAACCATATGAAACTGAACGATTAATAAATTAAATGTATGATGGCAAAAATAATGCTATGGAGTGATGAAGAAAGTTGAATGACAAACTTTTGCTCGTATCTTTTTTTTCGACCTTGGGTGGATGCCGTCGACAACTGAGAGACAAGATAAAGAAAGAAAACAAAGAATTATTTAATTATTATTATTACAAAATAATATATTAACATTTACAAATGAGTACTATCTATAATAAAATATTAACACACACAAAGCATGAAATTTTATGCGTATAGCACCAATTGCATCCAACAGGCAGGCATCTCCCTCCATTCAAACCCCATCACTGCAACAGCAGAGTCGGGCACCTTAACCACTACACTATCCAGCCACTCATCAAAGGGGGACACACAAAACATAGACAGGGGAAATGACAAAAATACAAAAACTACCTCAACGTGAATGTGACTATCTTTTACATTGTAACCATCCAATGCTGCAATTGCTACTTGGGCTTCTTCTTCAGATTCCATATGCTAAGAAAAAAAATGTTATGTAAATCTTGTAATGGTTAAAAATGGCTTAGTTAAGTTATAAAATATTGTATAAACTTTATTTAAATAAAGAGTCCATAATTTAGTTAATTTATTTTATAATATTTATTTATATGAATGATCTATAGAACAAAACTAAAATAATACTAACGACAAATCCAAAATTTGAGAGGACGTCGCATTCTACGACATTACCAAACTTTTTAAACAGTGGCAGTAGATCGTCCTTGGTCGTGCCGTCGGATAGGCGCCCCACAAAAATTTTGACTGGCATTTCTAATTCACTTTTTCAATTTAATTTATATTTTATGATTATACCCAAGATATTCTTGAACCTTGCAGAGTGAATAGTATTTTTTATAGAAGTAACCAACCTGACACTAATTATAAGCTCAGTGTCGACTCGTCAATCTATAAAATAAATAAAACGCTTCTTCACTACGCTGCCTACCGACTTTCACTTCAGTAAGTAAAAAAGCAGTGTGAAAATGACTTCACCGGCTTATCCGTTGTATCAGAACGCACTAGTAAAAATTTTAAACAATTTCAATTTAAAAAAGTCGTTTATTTAAAAATTATCTGCAAATACTGAAAAATAAATTTAATTTGTAATTCAATTAACCATCAATCGAGCAATGTGAACGGCGTTTACGCTCATTATATATAAACAAAACCAACAATAAAGTTACCCACGTGACCAAAAAACTTAATTTTTACAACGAAAAACATAGAAGCCGAAATCCGAATTCAGTGTCGTAAATTTTTTACTGGAGTCTGAAAGCGCTTGAAAAACTCAGTTTTTAGTCAGAAATCGACTAAAAAAATTGAAGTAATAAACCAAAAAAAATTCATTTGCCTAATTTTAGTCACACATGTACAAATTTGGTTAGTTTCTTGGCCCCCGCCAGACATAGGCATATAAATTACGACCCACAAAAAGCAAATATTCATTCCTACATACATACATTCACCCAGGTACTTTGCAATCAATCAATCAATCAACCAATCAATCAACTAATCAGTTACTTTATAAAGCGCTATTTCCGCGATGTTCAACAGCGTTCCTCAATGAATTTTGCAAACAGATGGGTCTTGAGACCCATTTGAACTTCATAAGGGATGGAGAAGTAGTCAGAGAAGGAGGTAGAGAATTCCAGAGAAAAGGGCCAGAAAAAGCAAATGCAGATTTAGCAAAAGAGTGTCTAACACGAGTTAAGAAGAAATGAGAACAAGAAGACGATCGTTTAGGCTCAATTAATATATCTTATAAGTACTTAGGAAATCATTTAGATTGAGAATTTTACATATATGTGCAAATTTTAAAAATTATTCTATATATTTTATAGGTATTCAGTGCAAGAGAACAAGATATGGAGATATATGAGAAAAGAGAGGGACACGAGCAACTAGACGAGCAGCAGAGTTAAAAGCTTTACTTAAAGGATAGAGTGTAGAATCAAGAAGACCATAGTAGAACGAGATACAATAACCAATCCTAGATAAGACTAAAGAAGTAACAAGAAGGAGAAGAGTAGGATCGTCAAGAAAAGGCAAAAGTTTTTTATTCTACGTAGATGAAAGTAAGAACTTCTAGCAACACTATTAATCTGAGAAGAAAGAGACATGCTAGAATCAAAGATGAAGCTTAGACTACGAAACATATGAGGAACATCAAGAGTTCTAGAATCTTAGAGTTAAAATTTTATTTTGATTTTATTTGCACGTTTTGAATTTTTCAACCGCTGTTTATTCATTTATTTGTTTGTTCAGATTTTTAAAGTTAAGAGTTATTAAACGGTGGCGTAGAAAAAATGTACTGAATGAATTTTTGACCGGTAAAGTCAGATGAATAAATGAATGAATGAATGAATAAATGAACGAACGAACGAGTGAACAAACGAACGAACGAACGAACCAAATAAAGAATGAAATGTGTTCCTTTTGCGACGAGGTGGCTATTTTAATTCTGATGTTTGTTTTTTCAATGCATTTACGATGATATTTTTATCGTTTTTTAAATAGCATATGCGCATGCATAGCATGCATACACACATACACACACACATACACACACACGCGCGCGCGCGCGCGCACACACACACAAACACAAACACAAAACAAACCAATGCAGTTTGGCCGGTCTTTAAATAAACTCAATTGTTTAATAGCTAAATAATATGTATAGCTTTCTATAACGATTTTATTATTAGTTCTAGTTTTTGAAATAATAAAAATAATAATAACAACAAAATCAGAGTAATAATAACAACTAATATTGAAAATAATAACTGTACTGACTGATAGTATACAAAGTCACGCATTGTGTGTATAGCGTAACCACGCAAAACATCTCTAGACACACCACGCACGCACGCACACGCACACACACACAAAGACACCACACGCACGCACACACATTCTGTAGCTTCTATTATATTTAAAGACATATACTTATAATTAATTAATCTAGTGTAATTATATAATATCTAGTTATATATATATATAATATATATATATATATATATATATATATATATTGTTATTATTATTCATATTATTAATACCTTTTTGAATAGCATTTAATATCATTGTCATGTACTTTCATCATTATTATATGGCTGTGAAGCCTGTGTATTTGGTGCTCTCTTATTAATGCCGTAGGATGATGTCGTGCATGTATGTTTGCATGTGTGTTTGTGTGTTTGTATATGTGTGCGTGTGTTTGTATATGTGTGCGTGTGTTTGTATATGTGTACGTGTGTGTGTGTGTTTGTATATATGTCTTTATATGTTTGTGTGTGTTCGTGCTCAACTATTTCCAACAAATTATCGATTTAGAATGCAACTTTAAATCAATCTAATTATATCAGAATGTGTTCGCGCATGTGTTTTGGATAGAGATGTTTGATCATTCAAAAACATCATAACCAATAAACCAATTAACCAATCAACCAGCTAACCAACCAATTAATCAGTAAACCAATAAACCAATTAGATAACCAACCAACCAATCAGTTAGCCAACCAATCAATTAGTTAATCATTTAATTAGTCAATCAATCAATCTATCGACAGAAGTTAATATTATTCTTATAACTATGAAATTTACTTATGTATTTCCATCACTACAATTAGTATTACTGCTGTTTCTACTCTTACTACTACTACTACTACTACTACTACTACTACTACTACTACTACTACTACTACTACTACTACTACTTCTGCTGCCGCTAATTTTTAATCAATTTTTATTTAAAATTTTATATTTGTTAGTTGATGATGAAACTTCAAACTTATTATGTATATATGTAAGTATGTATGTTTGTATGTTTGTATGTATGCATGTATGTATGTTTGTATATATATATGTATGTATGTATGAATGAATGAATGAACAGACGAATAGATGATTGAATGAATGAACAAATGAATGAAAAAAAAATGTGGCTAGTCCACTAAAATATTGCTACAACTTGACAATAGCGTTATTAAAATCATCATCAACAATCTAACAACAATAAAAATAATAATAAACTAATACAAAAACCACAACAATAATAGAAATAAAAATTATTATTATTATTTGTATTTTTATGACATTATTATGTTATTGGCATGGCCATCTCTTCTTGTCAGCAACATAGCTAACCACATTACTTTCAACTTCGATTATAACAGACAAGAAGATAACTTTTATAATAAAAGTAATAATTATGTATGCATGTATGTTTGTATGTTTGTTTGTTTGTTTGTTTGTTTGTTTGTATGTATGTATGTATGTATGTATGTATGTATGTATGTTTGTTTTTATGTATGTATTTATGTATGTATGTTTGTTTGTAGGTATGTATGTGTATGTGTGTGTGTGCGTGTATGTAAGAACGTATGTGTGCATTCAGTTTTCTTTCACTTCTTTTCATTGCTGGGCCACGCTAAAACTTAAGATATGTCGTTATTCTATTTAGGATACAAGAATAGATGTGTGTGCGCGTGTGTATGTGTTCTTATGTTTGTATGTATGAATGTGTGCGTATGGATGATTGTGTGTGCGTGTGTATGTGTTCTTATGTTTGTATGTATGAATGTGTGCTTGTCGTGTATGTTTGTGTTTGTTTATATTGCGTGCGGGTGAGTGTGTATTTCTGTGTCTGCATGAACTTAGATTAAAGGTAAGGTACACACACATGCACATGTTAGAAAAACATTTTTCTAGTATTCTCAGCTTTTTTTACTCTCTTTTATCTCTCCCTCTCTCTCTCTCACTCTCTCACTGTCTTTCTCTAGGTAAAGAGCTATCTCTCTTCTATTATTGTCAATGATTTTAGTCTACAGAGAGACCAGAGCTTTTATTTAGGTATTTAAGTAATTTTAAACAAACAATCTCTCTCTCTTTCTCTCTCTATCTTCTCTTTCTCTCTCTTTTATATCATTTTCAGATTTTCAGTGTCTTTCGTGTTTTCTCTTTTTTGAGTTTGCTTATTCTCTCTCTCTCTCTCCCTCTTTCTCTTTCTCTCTCTCTCTGTCTCTCGCTTATTTAAGTTGTTTTTCGGTCTCAGTCATTGTTACCTATAATAGTCTCTACTTCTCTCACCCACTCACTTTTCACACACTATCTCAGGTTTCAGCCTAACTGAGCAGAGCAATTCGACTTTCTATCACAAGCGTTTGCCTTCGGTAGAGTTAAGAACTAGCAGACGATTTTTCTTTCAAATTGTGGCTATTACTACTACTACCACCGCCGTTACTACTACTAATATTAATACTACTGCCACTACTATTTGTGGTAGTAGTTGGATACTGCAAGATACTAAAAAAATTGTAGTAGATATATTCGTCTTGACTGTTGAAAGTTTCGCTTTATAAGAAGAAGGCAAAAAAACGCTTTGTGTGGTTTTAGGCTAAGAAACTTCGGATATTTTTTGGGATCATTTTTTCGTCGAAGTGAGAAAATTTTCATTTTTAAGAAACTTAAGAAATTTTTAAGAAAAGGTTTTTTAATTTTACCAGCAATTGATTTTTTTTTTGTAAAAATGTTATTGTAAATTAACTTGTTATTACGTAGTTGTATATTCGTATTAATTAAATAATTAGTTAATTAATCATTAATGTTACTAATTGATAAAATTGTTTTTCTTTAATTGGCTAGACAAGTTAGTGTTAACAACATTTTAGACTCCTTAATTAATTAATTTTGTAATTAGTTGAGTAATCGAATTATTTTATAATTTAATTTATTAGAAATCGTAAAACTTGTTACAAGAAGACAAGTGATTGGACATGATTCCAAGGTTAGAGTTTCAACAAATAATAACTAACTAAATAAAAAATAATTAGTTAATCAATTAATTAATTAATTAATTAATAATAAACTAATCATGCACATAAACGTGATTTTATACATAACAGCCTGAACAATAAGCTTCTTTTCAATAAAATTCAACTTGTTATTTATTGTCATCATTGCCTTCAACCAATTAACGATAAATTTGCTGGCATAAACACATGAAAATATAGAAGGGAATTAAACTAAAATAGTCAATAAACATTATAGCACCTTTCTGGGAGCTGCTAAGCAGTAAAATTTAAAAAATATCTCTTTTGTTTTAAACTTCCAGCTTGTAGAACCCAAACTTTTTAAATGCTTGCAGCCTATAAAGAAACATGAGAGTAAAATATCGAAGTTCACATTCTCTCTCCACTCAACCGTTACCTGGATTTAGGACATTGGCTGGGTTTCTGGTACCCGCCTTCGTTCTTCTGCTCTCCTGGGCAGTTCCACAGGCGTTTGGCCAAACCGGACCATTTTATAATGGCTGTAAGTTATTTTGGGAATGGTCAAATGGATAATTAATTAGACATAATTATCTTGATGAACGTTGATTCTTTCGTTTGCAACTGATTTTATATTCACGTTTTAAACATTTGTTTCTCTTTGTAGAGTTTATATAATACGAAACTGAAATTACAACAATTTTCTTATTCCCACTTATATATACACAGTGTGTATTACACACGTACCGCACACACCACACATGCACACACACGCACACACACACGCAAACACACACACAGCCTACACGGAAAGGTGTAATTCGTCTCAGGACATAATATTTCTTGTGGATAGCAGTAGCAGTATCAGAACGAATGACTGGACCATTGTATTGTCATTCGTCGAATCGCTACTCAACCAGCTGAACATAGCACAGGAGTATGTACATGTTGGTCTTATTCGCTACGCATCTACGGCTCAGGTAAGCCGGGGGTTTGAGATTTTTAGATCAATAATCTGGTTCGGAAAATTTTTACTATACGATGAAAATTTTGAAAGTTTTTGCTGTCATAATCACATGCTCTTTGATCAGTTTTATTAATTAAACAAAAATATTTTTTGTGTGGCCAGGTCAGATGGTCAGTTCTTATTATTATTAAAAATATTTTTCTTGCTAGGTTGTGTTTAGTCTGGGCTGGAACAAGCCGAACATGATCAACCAGGTGCGTAACATGCAGTTCACAGGGGGGTCCACGAACCTGGCCGAAGCCCTGGCTAGTTCGCTTGGAGAGTTCTCCTCCAACAGTAGGCCATACTCTGCAAAGGTTAAAGTGGGAGTGAGTGAGTGGATGAATTAATGTATGTATGTACGTACGTATGAATGAATGAATGAATAAATGAATAATGTTAATGTATAAATGAGTAAATAAAAAATTTAACTAATTACTCACTTATGAAACGCTAGCTTTTCTCAGAAGGTGTAGTTAGTATATTACATTTTGCTGAAAAATTTCATCCCTTGAAAACTTACTACCAACTTTAAAAACAGACGGTAATAATCATCACCGACGGTGAATCAGACGTTAAATACGACACGATCGTAACTGCCAACAACGTCAAATCAAACGGTATCAAGATCGTTGGTCTTGTGGTCACCCCGACTCAAGAAAGTAACGGTTTCAAAGAGATGACCAACATCGCATCGTCGCCTTCTGAGGTTCAAACCCTCTGGTCAGCTAACTTTACCCTCCTACTTAACAAGTTGGCTAATACGTTGACATTCTCGTGTCATGAAGGACCGCCTCAAGGTAGATTTTTTTTTCATTGTTGTTTTTGAAATAAGAATATTAATTACCTAAAATCAACTTTAAATTTACTATTTCGAATGAATGATTTTGTGAATAAATGAATAAACAGAGCATAAAGCGCTGATTTGCTGTTGAAAAATAACTGCACAAACATTTTTTTTCGTAAGGACCCCCCGGTGTGATAGGAGCTACGGGACCCCAAGGACAGCCAGGATACAGCGGCAACCCAGGAAGGCAGGGACCAGTGGGTTCTTCTGGAAATACAGGAAACAGTGGATTTATTGGATCGCCAGGATTGTTTGGACCTCCGGGATTAGCTGGTTCGTAATTTGATTTAAATTGACTCTTCAAACTAATTGTAAAAATTATACAAATTAAAGTCGCAATTGTAGAAGACGCGCAGCAGTTGCTTTATTATCAATAAAAAATAATTGACTGCTACTCGATTACTTACTAGTGATTAAAATGCGGTTAATAAATATTTTATTTTAAAGCGCATATAGCTATATAATTAGGCTGTGCATAAGTTTTTTGTTTTATTTACGCCGCACTTTTAGTTCAGTTAGTCGCGTGTTTTAACTATTAAAACTGTTACGAAAAATGATTTAAAACATTAAATATTCAATTAAATAATTAATTATTTAGATAATTAAATTAAGTTTTGTTGATATTATCAAAAATATAAACGCAAAAATGTTACGATTCTCTATATGTAGGTATATCGAAATTCTGGCGAAAATTTTTGACAAATTGTGATTTAATAATTTTTTTATAAATTGTGTGGAAACAATAAAGCTTATGAGTTTTAAAAAATAACCAGGAACACCTGGACAGCCGGGTACAGCCGGACAGCCTGGTTCACCGGGTCAACCAGGTAACCCTGGTTCACAAGGTTTCCCAGGTCCTCCAGGTGACACTGGTTTTTCAGGACCAGTAGGACCTTTGGGTGCTCCAGGACCATCAGGTAATCCCGGATATCCTGGAAGTCCGGGGTCACCAGGAGTCAATGGTCAACCTGGTTCTCAAGGTCAACAAGGTTATACAGGCTCTACAGGGCAACAAGGCAATAGAGGAACTCAAGGATCACCTGGTCTACAAGGTGCTTCAGGTCCTTCAGGAAATCCTGGAAGTTCTGGAAATCAAGGTCAACAAGGTTCAACTGGAGCAACTGGATTTTCAGGTTTATCTGGGTTGCCTGGGTCACCAGGAAGTCAGGGGCAAAAAGGATCAACTGGATTTCAAGGTCCATCTGGCCAGCCAGGTGCAGCTGGTCAGCCAGGGTCTCAAGGTTCTCCAGGTCAACCAGGAAATAATGGATTTCCAGGCCAACCAGGACCACCAGGGCCTCCCGCAGCTACAGGAGCCTCAGGTCTACCAGGACCTCCAGGGCCATCGGGCCCTATTGGATTGCCTGGGTTATCCGGATTCAAAGGTTGTGTTTTAAGTTAAGATTTTATTAATTGAAATTAACATTTTTTTAAAACTTAATCTTTAATAAATTTGTTTCAGGCGACACTGGTCTGCCTGGATCTATTGGTCCTCTGGGTCCAGCAGGACCCATAGGACCAACTGGAAAAATTGGAGATACTGGATCTACAGGATCAACTGGAACAACTGGGCAACCTGGAAGTTATGGCTCTCCTGGTGCACCTGGTCCTGCTGGCCCTCAAGGACTTCAAGGTTTGAGATCTTCATTACTTTTGCATCATTTCCTAGGCTTTGCAAACATTGAAAAATTGAATAATGTTTAAAGGATCACCTGGAGCTCCTGGAAATTTAGGTTCTCAGGGACCTGCTGGCTCACCGGGTTTGCAGGGAATACCTGGACCATCGGGCTCACCAGGGTTGCCAGGTAATCCGGGATTTAATGGTTTTCCAGGTATGCCAGGAGCTACAGGTTTTGCTGGGCCAGCTGGTGGAACAGGTAACACAGGACCTGCAGGACCATCTGGTCAACCTGGACCCTTGGGACAGCCAGGAGGCGCTGGTGCTACTGGTTAATATTAGATATCTCCTACGTCATTTCTCTTCAATTTAAACAAACATTTCAATGTAATTTTAAGAATTTTTATTTGATAAATTGTTTTGTTAAGTTTGTATTGTTACCATTTTTTTAAATATACCACGGACTTGTACTTACTGGAATAGCAATAAAATGCAGAAAAATATAATTCTATAAGACAAACACAACCGGGTTTTCCTTTTTTAAAATGTCAAGTCTCAGGTGTCGTAATCAGAAAATATGATACATTTTTTCTATTATTATTATTCAAATGATTGTAAAATTTAAGAAATAGCCGAGAAAATATAGCTACACCATACATCCTAAATTTTTTTGTTCGTACCAATCATATCTTTTAGCTAAAAACGTACTGTAGTTGTATATAATTTAGCAGTTAAATTAATTTAACGCTTTTTCTTAACTTGTGTTAAACACTCTTTTGCCAAATCTGCTTTTGCTTTTTCTGGTCCTTTTTTCTGGAACTCTCTACCTACTTCTCTGACTACTTCTCCATCACTTGCGAAGTTCAGAGTGGATCTCAAGACCCATCTGTTTTCAAAATTCATTGAGGAGCGCTGTTGAACATCGCAGAAATAGCGCTTTATAAGCTAATTGATTGATTGAATTTAAATCACTCTTTAATTAAATTAAATCTTCTTAGGCCTTCCTGGACCACAGGGACAGCAAGGGCCCCTTGGACAACCAGGCCAACAGGGATCTCCAGGTTTGCCGGGACCACTCGGCCCGCCAGGACCAGCTGGACAGTCTGGACAACCAGGTTTGGCAGGGACTCAGGGAGCTCCTGGTGACAGAGGAAATCCAGGTTTTCAAGGATCTCCTGGTCAACCTGGACCAAGTGGACCACAGGGACTGCAAGGTCTACCAGGAGCTACAGGAGGTCCAGGGTCAATTGGTCCTGCTGGATATCCTGGGCAACCTGGAACAGATGGAATCAAAGGATTGCCTGGAGATACAGGATCGATTGGTCCACTTGGTCAACCTGGTTTACAAGGAGCACAAGGTCATTATATTTATAGCTTTGGAATAGGTTAAACGTGATTTTCATATTAAGTTATATATTTAATATATTTCCATTTATAGATTTATAAATTTTTTAATTGAACAATTTTCATAGTTACTGTAAAATGCATTTGTCAAAGCAAGCAAATTTCTGAATAAAAACAGGCTTGCCAGGTCCTGGTGGTGCTACAGGACAGCCAGGATCACCAGGTAGTGTCGGTCGTCCAGGACCTAGTGGCCAACCAGGAAGTCAAGGAGCAACAGGGAACACTGGGTTAACAGGATTCCAAGGCTCTCCAGGACCCAATGGGGCAACTGGCTTTCCAGGTCCAATGGGAGCACCAGGACCAGCCGGCCCACAAGGTCAGAGAGGTGATAGTGGACCCGCTGGACCTCCTGGAACTCAAGGATCTCCAGGTTTTTATACATCTTGTCATTCTATTAGATGACCATCAACTACATATTATTTTGTTTTAATCACAGTATTCAGTAGTTGTAATTTCATTCTTTTTTTTGTTGTACATTTATTTATTTTTTTAAATCTTAGGGCCGAGAGGAAATCCAGGATCTTCTGGACCGTTAGGACAAGTAGGACCAATGGGACCAACAGGCGTTAATGGCGATACAGGTCAGCCAGGACCTGCTGGCCCTATTGGACCAGCAGGATTTCCAGGACCCAGTGGCCAGCCCGGAGGTCCAGGATCTCCTGGAAATGCAGGTCCTTTTGGACCTGTTGGGTCTCCAGGCTTAAAAGGCACTCCTGGAATAGCTGGTTCTCCTGGACCAGTTGGATTACCAGGAATGAAAGGTTTTGTGGGATTTCCTGGTACTCCTGGATTACCAGGATTACCTGGTAGCATTGGACTTTCAGGACCATCTGGTGCAACAGGGTTTATGGGACCTAGTGGGCAGCCAGGTCCGGTGGGGCCAGCTGGTGGTTCAGGAGACACTGGCGCTCCTGGACCTTTGGGACCGTCAGGACCTCAAGGTGTGCTTATCAGATTATCTTTGTGAACAAATAAAATATTGTATAACTTGTACCAGTTCAAATTTATGCTGTCATTGTTTACTGTTAAGTACATACCTGTTGTTTGTTGCATCAATTTGATCTAACACTCATATATTTTAAATTATTTTATTGAGAATGTTTTACTGTAAACTTTTGTTAGGCTGAAAAAGTGTCATTAACTAGTTTTCATAGTATTGTGCATGCTGTAGTATAATTAATAAATTTTTAGGTGAAGTGAATTAGTTTTTAAGAGTTTATATTATAAAAATCTGACCAAGTAAATATTTGCTCAGATGCTTTGACTTCCAGAAAATGAACATTGACTAAATGACATTAGAATAATTATTTTGTGTAATTCATACATGAATCATTTTTTATTTACTAAGGACCCATGGGCCCCGCTGGCAACAAAGGACTTCAAGGTGACACAGGCTTTCAAGGTTTATCTGGCTCACCTGGTCAGCCAGGTGCTATAGGTCAGCCAGGACAATCAGGACCGCTGGGACCAAATGGTCAACCGGGTCAACCAGGTTTTCAAGGATTTCCTGGACTTCCAGGCCCTCAGGGACCACAAGGTCAACAAGGTTCGCCTGGATCAGCTGGACCTGCAGGCTCACCTGGCACCCCAGGATTAAGAGGAGATCCAGGTTTTCAGGGATCAGTTGGATCTCCTGGTCAACCTGGATTTGCAGGTCCTGTGGGATCAACTGGGCAAACTGGATTGGCAGGAGCTACCGGATTTCCTGGTCAACCAGGTATGTTGGTTGGATGTGTGAACTTTTTTATTAAAACTTTTATTATGTTTTGTTAGCCAAATGTAAAAACACAAGTGATCTTATCATGCAGCTATTATCGTGCATGATTTTAATCAAATTAATTTTTTTTTATTTTTTCATCTTAAAACATTGGTTACAATAACGTTGTAACATATCGTGATAGGCCAGTCTGGATTGCCCGGAACTCCTGGATCAACTGGTTCTATTGGAGGAACAGGAGCTACTGGATTACCTGGACTTCAAGGTCAACCGGGATTTCAGGGTTCACCAGGAACAATAGGATTACCTGGACTAGCAGGTCCAACTGGTCAGTCTGGAAGTCAGGGAGCGCAAGGAGCTCCAGGTACTAGTGGAACGAAAGGTTTGCCTGGTGATGTTGGCTTTCAAGGAGCGACAGGATTTCCTGGACAACCAGGTCAGTCTGGTCAACCAGGTCAACCGGGTCCAGCTGGTCCACAGGGTTCGAGGGGTAATGTTGGTCAGCAAGGTCCTCAAGGTCCTGCTGGTTGGACAGGTATGCTCATTTTAAATGGTGCACTTTTGTAATTTTTCAAACAGCAATTCTACTTTAAATTAATTATTAAATTTAACTTTTAGGTGCAACTGGAAATCAGGGACCAGCAGGTCCATTAGGTCAGCCAGGGTTTCCTGGACCTTCAGGTCTGCCAGGAGCTACAGGTCTAACGGGATTACCAGGGGACAAAGGAGACATTGGCCAGCAAGGTGACCCTGGTCCTCAAGGCAATCCAGGCCAGCAAGGTTTTCCTGGTCCATCGGGACCTACAGGACCTCGAGGTGCCAATGGCTTCCCAGGACCGTCAGGTTTGATTGATTCTAGATTCTATTATTGATTGATTGATGATTGATTGATTATTTTTAAAATGCATGCCTAATGTAAAATCAGTTTTGAAAGTGTGGGAGGTAAAATATTGATAAATATTTATTTCGCTCATGTTATTATGTAAATCCTTTACATAGGTCAGTCTGGTCAACCTGGTCAGCCTGGTCCAACCGGATATCCGGGATTATCAGGATCGCCTGGCCCTGCAGGCCAACCTGGACCAAGAGGTGAAACCGGTTTTACTGGTTTACCTGGATCACAAGGAAGTACAGGTCCAGCAGGGTTTGTGGGAGCACAAGGAGCCACGGGATCACCAGGTCAACCGGGACCTTCTGGAAATATTGGACCTAGTGGTGCTCCTGGTCAACCTGGAACTCAAGGGCCTGCTGGTGTAAAAGGGGATACAGGAAATACTGGGTTTGCTGGAGCACAGGGAGCAAATGGCTCACCAGGTATTTTCTTTTTTGTTTCTTTTATAGAAAACATGAAACAAAAATTAGTGAGTTTCATAACATTTTTTAATGTGCAAATTTAGGAGATAGTCAATTTTTCTGAAAAACTAAAAAAGTGAATGTAAATCACGTTATTTTAATACTTAAAATTTTTAAGGCAACCCTGGGCAACCAGGACAGAAAGGATTTCCAGGTTCAGCTGGACCGGCTGGTGAAGTAGGATTTCAAGGACAGCAGGGACCACAAGGACCATCAGGCACTCCCGGTCAACCAGGTCAACAAGGAAGTCCTGGTTCCATTGGTCTACCGGGACCAGTCGGTTTGCCCGGACCAAAAGGTAATGTTGGATCACAAGGTTCAATTGGAGCAACAGGATTGCCTGGAAGAGATGAACAAGGTGATATAGGAATTGCTGGTGCTCCAGGAGACACAGGCTTCACTGGATCAACTGGTTTCCCTGGTCAACAAGGACCACTTGGTGCTCCTGGATCTCCTGGAGATGCTGGAGCTATTGGACCTGCAGGTTAATTTTGTGGTTTACTTAAAAAGTTTAATATATTTTCAGTGTGATCATCTAAAATTTACTATTCATCAATATCTCATATACCACGAATTCTTTTATTTAAAATTATATTCACCTATATTCATTAAAGCTTAATATCTCTACATTAATATTTCTAAAAACTTTCTTACATTTTAATGTCTAAAGAATTTTAAATTTGGCATGTTATTTGTAGGAGCCACTGGAAGTTCTGGTGCTACTGGTGGAACTGGACCAAGCGGACCGGCTGGACCCAGTGGTTCTCCAGGTGCTCAGGGATCGCCTGGACCATCCGGACAGCGAGGTTCACCTGGCTTTTCTGGTCAACCCGGTGCTGTTGGTTCTACGGGTCCTGTTGGTCCATCTGGGGCAAGAGGTAGTACCGGCGCCACTGGTGACACGGGACCAGCTGGTTCTACTGGTGGACCTGGTGCCATGGGAAGTCCAGGAGATCAAGGACCACAAGGTCAACCCGGTCCGGTTGGGGCTCAGGGTGGCACAGGAGCTACGGGAAACCCAGGAAGTCAAGGACAGCTAGGACCAGCTGGACCTGCAGGAAATACTGGTAATTTATATTTTGCTAAGATGCATATAAGTAAATATTGGGTCTTGTGTTAATGTTAAGCTGTACAGTTATTAATTGGTTGTGTACAAATTGTGATTAAATGTAATCTTTTATTTGAGTAAAATGAAATAATTTTGTCAAAACATATTTATGTACCATATGCACTTGACTGTTAATTTTCTTTTTATTCGATTGCGGTAAGGTCCAAGCGGTGTCCCTGGTCAACCAGGATCACCTGGAAATCAAGGATTGCTAGGTCAGCCTGGGCCCACAGGATTTGCTGGTCAACCTGGACCAAAAGGTAATCCAGGAGACGCCGGTTTTAATGGAAATCCAGGAAAATCTGGATTAGCAGGCTCACCTGGTGCACCTGGATTAGTTGGTGTCCCAGGGAATCTTGGAGATGTTGGATTCACTGGATTACCAGGTTTGTTTTTATCAGCATCAGCATATAATTGTGTGTGTATGTGCGTATATGTGTACGTGTATGCATGTGTGTATAAATGTGTTTATACGTAAACTCGTAAGCTTGTGTTTGTATGTAAACACGTTCATCATAATATCATTGTATTTCAGTCTTCTATACTTTGACAATAACTAATTTTGATTGGTTCGTTCGTTGAACTACTGGTTAACGTTTTTATGCTGCTTCAGTCCATTATATCGTCATCATTCTTTGTAGCCTGTACGCAAGTTTAATTTTAAAATTCTGTTTATATTTATGGACTATTTTTTTTCTTTATTTTAAATGTAATTGTTCTGCCCAACGGTGGTCTATCTATCATCATAAGATCTTTTTTCTTCATCTCTTACATTTGTTTGATTTGAATTGATGAATGAAATGATTATTAAAATTGAAATCATGATCTGCTATTAAAAATTAAATTTTTATAAGTTCAAGTTATTGAGTTTAACTACTTAATAAAGAACGTTTTTTCAATAATATATCATTAAAACATTATCAGAAAGTTGCCGTAATCATGACATTTAAATTTCAGCAAATTAAAACGTCGTAGGATCACCTGGACCAACTGGACAAGCTGGCCAGCCAGGAAATCCCGGATCAGCAGGTCAACCAGGTTCAAGAGGTCAGCCAGGCACCCCTGGACAGCAAGGACCTGTTGGACTACCTGGACCAGTTGGACCACAAGGTTTATCAGGTCAGTCAGGAGTACCTGGGCCCATTGGACCTCAAGGCAGTCAAGGTCCACAAGGATCAAATGGACTTCCCGGACCCGTTGGACCTACTGGTTCTCCGGGGCCAGCTGGCCAAATTGGAGCGCCTGGTGTTCGAGGAGGCACTGGATCACCAGGACCTGCAGGAAGTATTGGACCTGTTGGGTCTCCAGGACCTTCTGGACCTTCTGGTTTGTTCATCATTACAAAAATTCTCAGTTATATGTTTGAAAACTTTTAAATTTTTAATAGTGATTTTTTTAATCGAATGTGATATAATAAACGTTGAAAATATTTTAAATTTTCAATCTGCAACTAAACCAGTTTCAACTGCTAATTAATTTATCATTTTCCATTTAAAACGTAATAATATTGTTAGGCCCTGTTGGAGCTACTGGTTCTCCAGGACCTTTTGGGGAAGTGGGATTTTCCGGACCTGCAGGACCTCAAGGTAGTCAGGGAAGTCCAGGATTCAGAGGCGATGCTGGTGACACTGGATTTGCTGGTCCTGCTGGTCCCGTGGGTCAGCCGGGTCAGTCAGGTCAACCAGGACCTCGAGGTCAACCCGGACCAACAGGATCAACTGGTTCTCCTGGGCCTCAAGGTTATACAAAAATCGACGTTATGTTTTATTATTCATATCTTAAAATTTTTTTTTGCAAATAAAGTTAATTTCTTAGCACTGCTTAAGCGGTTTTCACTAACCCGTTTACATTTTGTACATTCATTGTAAAAAGAGTTCCATAGCTTTCTCTAGATTCTATTAATTTTTTTAGTTACCTTATTTATCAACAGGTGGTCAGGGTTCTCCGGGACCAAGTGGAAGTAGAGGTGAGCCGGGTTTTCAAGGACCAGCAGGTTCACCTGGGCAACCAGGTTTGTCAGGTGATCAAGGAGCTCCAGGATTTCAAGGCGTCCAAGGTTCTACAGGCCCTTCAGGAGCAGCAGGAAATATCGGTCAACCAGGGCCCCAGGGTGTGAAAGGTCCACAAGGAGATCAAGGTCCACCGGGTAATCAAGGACGACAAGGAGCAACTGGAACTCCTGGTTCTCAGGGGGGTCAAGGAGCCACTGGATTGACTGGTGCTACTGGGCCCGCTGGACCTCAGGGACAGCGGGGTGATATGGGTTCGCCTGGTCAACCAGGTGTTTATTATTTTTCTGTTTTTTCCTGGATTTTACATTATTTGTCAATGTTTATAAAGCTATCAATTAAAAATTGCATGCAATTAAATTGAATACTTTTAGAGTAACAACTAGGATGGGGACAAACTGCGGCCTGCGGGATACATGCTGCCGCGAACGTTGCGCGTAATGTAGTTTTACGTAAAAAATTGTTTTTATTTCTGTTACGGTATTACATTTTTCCTGTGCTAACTTATGGCTCTGAGTTCTGGACAAATTCTAAAAAAATGAAGAGTTATGAAAATTAGTTGGACCCCTCATACTTCGAAAGAGGATGTTTCCAAACATTCTGGTTATGAAAAGAGGAAATTATTACAGATAATCCGACGAGGTCAGTTAAAGTTTTTTGGTCACATCATGCGGAAGGAAAGAATGGAAAATCTAAATTGTTGAATATCACCTGATAGGATAAAGCACTAGAAAGAAAAAGCATCTCATAACTTCTTAATTTCAAGCAGTTATTAGAAAACCAGTATTTATAAAAAAGTTTGCGCAGAATCTTGTATTTTGTCATTTTATTATTTTTACCTTGTTTGAGCACATTTAAAAAATTTGTTAAACTTTTACTTAACATTCGTGTCTACGTTTCTCTAAACAAACATTTCCTGCTTGAATGCAAATAGTTATAATAAAACAATAAACGGTTATGATTGTCGTTTTAATAATTCAATGAGATTAATAATATTTGGTTTAGTTCTACATTTAAATTATGTTTATAGAATAACATGTAATTGTGATATATGCGAACTGATTGACGTTGGTTTTCAGCATGTCTGTTTCTTACTACGAAATAATTATCAGTTTCCAAGCGTATATTGTTTAAAATTGCCATCTTGGTCCACAAATCTTTAAATGGTAATGTTCCGTCTTATTTTATTGGGAAGTGCATGCCCGAGGGAGTTTCGTTGCATTATTGTGCATTGCTTTCTGATGACATGAATCTGGTGTTTAGTTGCTTGCAATCAAATTTTTGCTGTTAGTCCACAGTTTTGGAATGAGCTGCCGCATTTTTAGGCAGCCTGGATTTAGCGTTTGCTGCTTTCGTAGAGAGTTGAGGGCTATACAGAAATTTTTTCTTGCTCGTGCTTTCGGGTTTTTAAAAAGTGTGATATAAGCGAACATTATTTTTATTTATATATCTTTTATTTATATAATTATTAATATTCATTATTATAATTGATATATATATATATATTGGAAAAATCATGATATAATAATATAATTGGACTGTCAGAAATGCAATTATTGATAAAATCACAATATGTTCCGTGTTAGCTAGCTTCCTGTTTAATAAAATTGAAAAATTTAACAGAAAGCTAACCAACGCGGAACATGCTATGATTTTCATCAATAATTATATATATATATATATATATATATATATATGCCCACCCACGCATTATATAAATGGATGAAAATGTGTTTCATGATATAAATTCTCGCTAATTGTACCTACTTTAAATAGGCTCAGTTGGTGCCACAGGTAACGCTGGTCCCAAAGGCGATATTGGGTTACCTGGTCAACCGGGTCAGTCCGGTAATCCTGGATTGCAAGGAAGCAAGGGACAGGTAGGGTCCATAGGTCAGCAAGGTTCACCTGGACCGTCTGGTATTCCAGGGTCGCCTGGTCCAGTTGGTCAGAGAGGATCACCTGGACAGAATGGAGCTGTCGGAATTCCTGGACCTACGGGTTTTTTCATCTTCAAATCTTTTAAAATAAATTTTTTATGAACAAATTGTCAATCTAGTATAAGAAAATTGTAAACCAGTATTTATTTGTTTGTTAGTTGTATTTATGTTATATATATGAAAACTTGGATTAATTTCAATGTTATTTATTTATTATTATTTATTATTTATTTTCCTTTTTGTGGGTGTAAATATGGGAACAATTTTGATAAATGTTATAGGCTTACCAGGAGCCTTTGGCCAAATGGGTAACCCAGGAGATACGGGATTTATTGGGAATCCAGGTGCAATTGGACAGCAGGGTCAACAAGGTCAAGTTGGTGTTTCTGGATCACCTGGATTACGAGGTGACACTGGAGCTACTGGATTTGCTGGCCAGCCTGGAACTCCAGGAACTAGTGGTGCACCTGGTGCGCCTGGAGATCAAGGAGCTGCTGGATTTCCAGGAGCTGTGGGTCAACCAGGTCCTGCTGGCTTCAGAGGAGATTCTGGATTTGTTGGGCTTCCTGGTCAAAGTGGTCCTATGGGTCAACCTGGTCAACCAGGCTTCGTCGGTTCTCCTGGAACTATTGGTAATAATTTTGTTTTATTTTTTTCTGTTGTTTTTGATTCGCAAATTTAATTTGTTATGTCATTATCTGAAAATTTTTTCCAAGGATTTCCTGGATCAACTGGTTTTCCTGGACCCAGCGGTCAACTAGGGGCTCAAGGAGTGAAAGGACCTTCTGGAGACACAGGTCCTGCTGGACCCAAGGGACCATCAGGTGATGTGGGACCATCTGGTCCTATAGGCAGTCCTGGATCTCCAGGGTCAGTTGGACCTATCGGAGCTGCAGGACCAAAAGGAAGTCAAGGAGATACTGGTTTAGCTGGACAACAAGGTAATTATTTTTAAGTTTATGTTCAACTTTTATTAACAAAAAGAGTTATTCAAATATATATTCTGTTAATAAAATAAAATTACTTTAATTAAATTGTTTCACAATGAAATAAAAAAATGTTCCCTGTTCCCCATTTATAAAGGTCCTCCTGGAACTACCGGTCCAAAGGGTCAAATTGGAAGTCCTGGACCTTTAGGGACGAGTGGGCAGCCTGGTCAACCAGGTCCGGCTGGTCCAACGGGTCAACGGGGTGACATTGGATCAGCTGGGCTTCCAGGACCGACAGGACCACAAGGACAACCTGGTGTTCCTGGAGATAATGGGGCTAAAGGTTTCCCAGGAGACGTAGGTTTACTTGGATCTCCTGGACCAGCTGGGCAGATAGGTGCAAATGGATTACCAGGGTTGTCTGGTCCACCTGGTCCCACTGGCCAACCAGGACAAAAAGGAGTTAGTGGAGATCCTGGAAATACAGGAGCTACGGGTTCACCTGGACAAGCTGGTTTAAATTTACTTACAATATTTGCAATCACCATTATAATGTCAATCAGTTCAACTTTCTTTAGTAAATACTATAGTGACTTATAAGTTAAAATTTTTTAAATTTTTAATTTAATCTAGGTCAGGCTGGTAACCCGGGTACTCCCGGTCAAAGAGGTGCTGCCGGAGGAACAGGGTCAACCGGATCTCCAGGTTCGCAAGGTCCAAGTGGACCAGCTGGTCCTAATGGTCAACCAGGTACACCAGGACAACAAGGACTGCAAGGTCAACCCGGATCTACAGGTTCATCGGGGCTACCTGGTCCCAGAGGTGATTCAGGTATTCTTGGTGTTCCCGGAGATAATGGCTCACCTGGACAACCTGGGCAACAGGGTATGCACTTTCATCATTAAGAATGCTTATCTATGTACGTACATGAATGTGTCCGGTCGATATATAGAAAAAAAGTTTTTTTGTGTTACAGTATTTGAATTAACATTGTTATTTAATCATTTCACAATTATGACTGACCACGTTTTACTAAAACACCTTAACGATTTAACGGTTCCAAACGGTAGGTTGTTAAGATGAGCATCGCATTTACAAAATTTTTCATTTGCCATTGACGCGGTAAAAATAATGTAGTAGCTGATTCACCTTCACAATGACAATGAACAAACAGCTATCGCATAAGCACATTTTGAAGATTCGTTTTTTTTCGTTTGTAGATGTTAACATTTAAAAAAATAATGATATCAATTTAATTATTATCATATTTTAATTTTGATGGTTATAAAAGCTTGTTTGTTAATACATATTTTGAATTTGAGCAACTTGCATTAACTCTTGCAGTGCCAGATATCTAACATGGTTTCTGACGTTAACAACATACTGACACACCACAGGTTCTTTCAAATGCCCTAAATAACTTTTTCAGGATCTCCTGGCAGTGTAGGGCAACCCGGCTCAAGAGGTATTACAGGTCCTGCGGGAAACCCAGGCCAACCTGGACCATTAGGCCCTGCTGGACAGCCTGGACCTTCTGGGCAGAAAGGTAATCCAGGGGCGCAAGGAGCCACAGGTGGGACTGGTTCGACTGGCTCGTCAGGTCCTGCTGGTCAACGAGGTCAACCGGGATCTTCTGGCCAACCGGGTCTTTCAGGTCCACCTGGTCAGCCAGGTAATCAATTTAATAAATGTTTCAAGTAAATTTTTGCAGCATTTTCTTCGAGACACTTCTTGTTGCGTTGTTTATTTTTATTATTTAACTGTCAAATTAAGATGAAATTTGAGTGAGGAATGTTAGCAAATACTTTAGGATTAAAATTTGGAAGTTTGTTAACTATAATTTTTATTGCACTAAATATTATATTTTTATTTTGCTAGAAATTTTATCTTTTTGTTTTTATTTTTAATTTTTATAGTTTATTTTTTAAATTCATTTTTTGTTAGTATTTTAAAATGTTATTTTTGCGCATACTTTATTTTAAATTTGCAACATTTTTATAACATTTTCAGGTTTCCCAGGATCGCCAGGTCCTTCAGGACAAGCAGGATCAATTGGAGCTCCTGGACCAAATGGACTTGTGGGTGATCCGGGGCAGCCAGGTTCAGTTGGTCCACAAGGAATTCAAGGAACTGTGGGAGATACAGGTATACCTGGACTTCCTGGTCCTACTGGACAGGTGGGCCAACCAGGTCAACCTGGTACCAAAGGTCAGCCAGGTGCCCAAGGAGAACCTGGCTTTTCAGGCCAACCAGGACAACAAGGACCAAATGGTTCGTTTTGTTGGAATTTTGAGTGTTGATTCAATAATTTCATTTTATTGAACTTGATTGACTGATGATTAATTGTTTAAAATATTATTTTTCGACTCGAATTAGGTCAGATTGGTCAGCCTGGTCCTCAAGGTCCACAAGGTCAACCTGGACAAAATGGCTTACCGGGACCAGTTGGGCAACCAGGTCCAAGTGGAAATGTAGGGGCTGTTGGCTTACCAGGAAACAGAGGTTCTACTGGTTCTCAAGGACCTCAAGGTGCTACAGGTCCAGCTGGCTCGTTAGGATCACCAGGAGTGCCAGGTGATACGGGTAATACAGGACCTACTGGAAATCAAGGATCCCGAGGAAATCAGGGGACACCCGGTACCCCTGGCCAGTCTGGAAATGCAGGTATATTTTATTACACCTACCCATTGTTATTGCTTTTTAAAAATTTTTAGATAGCATAATAAAACCAATGTAAGCATTGTCGGATTGAAAATCCTAACGACTTCAATAAAAAACGTAAACACACTAGTTATTAATATTAAATTGAAATATGAAACGTTACTTGTGAAGGACCCGTTGGACAACCTGGATTAAATGGTCAGCCTGGACAGCCTGGACCTACAGGACAACCAGGTCCACGAGGTGATGCAGGTTCACCGGGCCAAAACGGTAATCCTGGATCAAAAGGTCCTGTTGGAGATCAAGGATCACAAGGAGCAACTGGATTTCCTGGGCAAGTCGGGTCTCCTGGACCACAAGGACCTAAAGGTTCAAAGGGTGAAACTGGTTCCATGGGTCAACCTGGTTCACCTGGATCTGCAGGCGATCAAGGGTTAAGGGGAGACACAGGAAATGCAGGAAATCCTGGATCAAATGGACTACCTGGATTACCTGGACCCTCCGGAAATCAAGGGGCTCCTGGTCCTCTTGGTAATCCAGGCCCTACAGGACCTGCTGGTTTTAAAGGAGATCGTGGTGATACTGGTGCTCCAGGATTGTCAGGCACCCCAGGTATTTTCAATGAAAATAAAATAATTTTTCAAGACTACTTTTCTATTTGATTTTGTTAAAAATTTTTTGTTATAAATTTGTTACTGTTTTATTGCAGGCTCATCTTCGAAATCACATTAGTTAATGTGATAATATTATTTTCATAATATTCTTTTGACGTTGTAGGTCCAAATGGACAGCAGGGAGCACCAGGACCGTTGGGAAGTGTGGGATTGCCAGGAGCAACTGGAAGCATCGGTGGTCAAGGTGCTACGGGTATGCCTGGCGCAAATGGCAATCCGGGTCAGCGTGGTCAACAAGGTCCACAAGGTCAACCAGGAGCCCAAGGTGATACTGGTTCAACGGGTACATCAGGTCCTAAAGGTCAGATGGGACAACCTGGATCAGCAGGCCAACAGGGTGCTCAGGGTGCGGTTGGTCAAATGGGACCTGCTGGTTCTCCTGGACCCAGTGGTCAAGCTGGTAGTCCAGGACCTCGTGGTGAAATTGGAAATCCAGGCACACCAGGATCTCAGGGTGGCACTGGGTTTACAGGAGCAAGTGGTGACACTGGATTTGCTGGTGGTCCTGGAGATCCTGGAAGTCAAGGCCAACCTGGAATGAAAGGTTCTGTGGGCAATCCAGGTTCGCAAGGAGTTGATGGATCTTCAGGACAAAATGGAATTCCAGGGTCACCCGGTAAGTAGTTTGTATTAAAAATACTTATATTTGTTGAGAATCTTTCATGTTTTACTTTTGTTTTGACGTTATTTCAAATAAAAAAAAATTTATTTTTATAAAAAGTGAATAGGTTGCATCAATTATTTTTTGAAAAAATTAATTGAAATTTAACAGGGCTGCAGGGAGCTACGGGTCAGCCAGGTGCACCAGGAGCGACTGGAACACCGGGTTTAAATGGTCAACCAGGTCCTAAAGGATATATTGGCGACCCTGGTCAACCAGGACCTGTGGGTCAGCTAGGTACCGCAGGTCAACCAGGTCCATCTGGAAACATTGGTCAGCCAGGTTTTCAAGGAAGTAGAGGAGATACGGGATTTTCTGGAGCTCAAGGTGTTCCTGGTGTTCAAGGTCCTGCAGGTCAGAGAGGTGACATTGGTTCACCTGGTCCAGCTGGAAATCCAGGTAATCCAGGTCAAGCCGGTTCTCCAGGTCCAATAGGACCTGCTGGTCCGGTGGGAGCTACTGGTCAACCTGGTTCCAAAGGACCAATGGGAGATGCTGGAGCACAAGGTTTGACCGGATCTCGTGGTGATACAGGAGCATCAGGAAATCCTGGTACTGATGGCAATGTTGGTGCACCTGGAGCTCAGGGTGATACTGGTCCTGCTGGATCTGTTGGTTTGCCTGGACAAGCTGGAGCAGTTGGGTTGCCCGGATTACGAGGAGATCAAGGCCAAAGAGGGCAACCTGGAACTCCTGGATCTTCTGGTCAAAGAGGAGATCCTGGTCAGCAAGGTCCTCAGGGTGTGAAAGGTCCATCCGGTGCCACTGGTTTTCCGGGGTCAGTCGGAGGCACCGGAAACACAGGTCCTATTGGATTAGCAGGACCTCTTGGTTTTCCTGGTAACCCTGGTCAACCAGGTCAAAGAGGTGATGTAGGATTGCCTGGCACACCAGGCAATCAAGGTGCTACAGGACCTCAAGGTTTAGCAGGTGATCCAGGTTCTCCCGGGCAAAACGGGCCGCAAGGTCAACCTGGATCTGTGGGCCCAAAGGGTCCTCAGGGTGATACAGGTGCTGCTGGATCACCTGGTACTGTTGGAGCAACGGGTAACACTGGACAGCCAGGTGAGCTTTTTTAACTTTACATAATAATATAGTATATTTGATTGATTATTTAATATATTTCTTTAACTTCAATTTTTTCTAAACAAAAACCAGCCACGTTTATTATAACTAGAAAATGTTGGAACTTCTTTTGATTAGTGAACCATTCAAGCTTCAAAAATATGCTCAAAATTCAAAATTATTAAATCCGCTCAGAAACATGAAATTAATAAAAAAATAATACAAAAAGCTTGAATGAAATGGTGGTTGTTGGGTGAGGAGATAATTTAAACTTGAAAGTTAAGGCAGAATGAAAGGAAATGTGAACAGGATTGATTGATTCAAATATATATGAGAAGTTTTCAATGAATATAATTTTTGTCCAGATGAAATTTCAAAATTAATAAAAATTAAAATTAAACGTGATTGATAATATTGAGTATATGATGTTTTCAATTGTAATGAACCATTCATTTATTCACATTTTTGTGATTTTTAATTATTTACTCTTCTGAATATTATATGCATTTATGTTGTTTCTTGTGCATAACATTTGCGCCTGACAGAGAATGCATTTTAAATAAAATATAAATAAAAAATTAATAAGATGTTTAGGAAAAAATTAGTTATCGCTGATTATTATTTATTAATAATATTTTTATTTCTTCAGGGTCTAATGGAAATCCCGGTCCAATTGGCTTTCCCGGTTCAAGTGGCAATCCGGGAATCTCAGGCGTTCAGGGAGCTACTGGCCTACCTGGTGACCCAGGCGATGATGCCAGTCAGCCACAAATAGGAGCTCAAGGATCTCCAGGTCTACCTGGAACTCTTGGGGCTACAGGTTCTATTGGCGTGCCAGGTAGTGTTGGTCCTCCTGGAGACACGGGGGCTCAAGGTCTGAGGGGGTTCATCGGCCCGAAAGGTTCAACTGGATTGCCAGGTTTTACTGGTCCGTCTGGGAATGCTGGATCGGTTGGTCCAACGGGTATACAAGGTGTTCAAGGACAGCCTGGTTTGAGGGGTGATCAAGGATCAAGAGGAAATCCTGGTAATCCTGGAAGTCAAGGTTATTATCATTTTTCTTTTTTTTTGTGGCTGTGTGAAAATTTTTTTGTTATGAAATAAGTCAGTTGAGAATTTGAAAATGAATTATTACTCACCGATGATGGCGTCGATAAATGAATACAACCACTGTCATTTTTTAATCAAACGTTATGCTAGAATAAATCGTTTTTGTTTATGAAATTTAATGTTACTCATCATTTTAAAAATTTTTATGTTTTATTTAAAATTTTGATTATTGATAACAATGATTTGCTAAAATAGTTTTAATTTGAACTTTCCTGGCCAGATCACTAATCATAAAATTAATTGGTAAGAATAATAATATTTTTGTGATAGGAGCTCCTGGTTTTCCCGGATCTACCGGCAGCTCGGGAGATATTGGTCCGGCGGGACAGCCCGGATTTCCTGGTCAATCAGGTTTGCCCGGATCACCTGGACAAAGAGGTGACACCGGATCATCTGGACCATCCGGTTCCATTGGAGCTCCTGGGCCAAGAGGCGACCAAGGACAGCCAGGACAACAAGGTCAGCAAGGTCCTAGGGGTGATCAAGGACCTCAGGGATCACCTGGATCAATTGGTCAACCAGGTCCATCTGGATCGATGGGTCCTGCAGGTCCTAAAGGTTTGACGGGGGACCCAGGTACTGTTGGAGAAAAAGGATTTTCAGGTCAACCTGGATCTCCTGGAAATCCAGGAGCGCAAGGTGCTGCTGGAGACACAGGTTCATCCGGGCAGCCTGGAATTCCAGGTAGCCAAGGTCAACCGGGAGTCCAAGGCCCTCAAGGAGCTCAGGGTCCCACTGGAAGCGCTGGTGCTACTGGACCAACCGGAGCAAAAGGTATTACATGATCATTTGTTCATAAAAATGATTATTTCATGAAGTTTATTAAAATAATTGCTAATAAGTAAAATGATTTTTTTTTAATATTGGTACTGTGGCAATGTAGTTCTGACAAGAAAGTCCAATGTTTTTAATTTAATGTTTATATTGGGCCGTTGATAACAAAAGAATGGAAATAAAAATATAATTATCAATAAATTTAATATGTAAGTAAATTAAAATTAACTGGTCATAATTTGATATGAACATAACGTTAAATGAAATAGAAAATGTAAGCAAAGAAATGAAAAAATCAAACTTTTTTGTATGTACTGTACATGTGCAATGTATGAAAGAATGATTTCCGGTCAACTTAGCTTAGACCTCCTGGAAATGCAATGACTTAAACAGACAAAAATGTTTACTCTAAAATAATGATTAAGTTGATTGTGTCAAGTAAAATGCATTCATCAATATGGTTCATTTTTATAATTAATTGAAAACATTTTTAAACACTTATTTACATAAAAATGTTTAAAAATTGTCTTATTAAATCATAAAATGTATAGGGGCACCTGGAAGTCAGGGACAGCAAGGAGTAGTTGGACCAAGTGGACCAAATGGCCAACAAGGTCAGCAAGGCCAACCAGGTCAGCAAGGCCAGCAAGGTGCTCAAGGTTTACCAGGTGCTCTTGGACTACCTGGGGCTACAGGTTCACCTGGAAACGCCGGTCAGCCTGGCTCCCCAGGACAACAAGGTCCTCAAGGTTCAAAAGGTGCTTTGGGTGATACTGGTACACCTGGCGCTGCCGGAAGTCCAGGATCAGTTGGTTTACCTGGATTACAAGGAGAAAAGGGATTTCAAGGTCTTCAGGGACAACCAGGGCCCAATGGTCAAGCCGGAATTGCTGGGCCACCTGGTACTCCAGGTCAACAAGGTCCTGCCGGAGCAGCTGGTCAACCAGGAAGTCCTGGATTGAATGGTGCTCCTGGTGATACTGGAGCACCTGGAATCTCTGGTTAGTTTTAAACTGCTTAAAGAAACATTTAAATTGTTTGTCTTTTTTTTTTACAATGAAAGCCATATAATGTTTAAATATTTAAAATGTTAAAATATATTTGAAATAAATAAATGTTTTTTTGAAATAGGAGCCACTGGACAACTTGGACCGGCGGGAGCTGCAGGTCAGATTGGTCAGCCAGGAGTTCAGGGCCAACCTGGTCCTCAGGGAAGTAAGGGACAACCAGGTGACCAAGGACCACAAGGTCAAACAGGTCAACAAGGTCAACAAGGTGCCCGAGGTCCAACTGGTCAACAAGGAGCAAATGGACTTCAAGGAGCCAGAGGTGATCAAGGATTGCAAGGTCAGGTTGGTCAGCCTGGACCACAAGGATCTCCCGGATCACCTGGACCACTGGGAGGCATTGGAGCCCTTGGTCAGCAGGGAGTTCAGGGGTCAGCTGGCGCACCTGGAAATCCTGGAACACCTGGAAAAAATGGTAATGCATTTTATTCATTTTCATTCTTAGTTATGATTTAATATCCTTATTTATTTGTTAGTTTTTCCATGTTACTTTTCAACTCAGTGATTCAATATTTGATTTTCCATATGTAACCCATTTTATTACGTTTATTATCTTCATTTTATAATTTGATTTTTGTAAATTGTAACACATTCTGCATTTGTCAGAATCTGATTTTTTAAAGATTAAAAGGAAAAAACTATGCGTTTTCATTTATGAGTTACAAATTCGCAAAAATGTTTGTAAAAATCGTTATTTTATTTGTTATATTTTTTTGAAGAGTGTACAAATTAACAACACTTCAAATAATAAATAAATAAATAAATAACTTGTTTGACTACGAGATAAATCCAGTGAGTGAACTTTAACTAATTAAGAACTTTCTAATCTCTGTGAATTTTACAAAAAATTAAATACCCAGCGTGTGAAACGAAATCGTTTGCCATGTGGCAAAAGATGCAGTTGCGACTTGTATGTTTTCTTGAGATCAATCGTTTTTTAAAATCGGTAGGTTTCGAACTTATCTAACTCGGGATGTAGTGTGGTGTAACATATAATATTTAAATAATTTTTTTTAGATTGTAAAATTTAAAATTAGAGCTCCAAACATGATTTTGAAGGTGCGGTTGGATCAACTGGTCAAATCGGTCCAGCTGGTCCTGCTGGAACTCCAGGAAATCCTGGTCAACGCGGTTTTCCAGGTGCTCAAGGTTCTCAGGGAGCTACAGGAGCTACAGGTTTGAAAGGCGCTCCCGGAGATCAAGGTTCCCAAGGTCAGGCAGGATCAGTCGGTCCGGCTGGTCCACAAGGTCCAAGAGGAGATCCAGGTTTTACGGGCCCTATCGGTCCAGCTGGTGATGTCGGGCAGCCCGGAAGTCAAGGTTAGATTGAAATTTTTGAAAAATATTCGGTTATTTAAAATTTTAATGCAATTAACTTAACGTAACTCGATATCACCACTCCAAATTAACTTGTTGTTTTTGCTACAATATATTAACCTTTCATTTCCGCCACCCTGTATTAACCTATTACTTAATCATCAGGCGTGGTTGGGCCGGCAGGACCAAAAGGTCAACAGGGGGCAACAGGATCTCAAGGTCAACAAGGAGCTACAGGTTTACCTGGTCAACAAGGACCACAAGGTCAGACGGGATCTGCAGGTCAAAGGGGTCAACCTGGACAAGCAGGAGCTCCTGGAAATGCTGGTCCTCAAGGTGATACAGGGCCACGTGGACAGCCAGGAATTCAAGGTTTGCAGGGAAGTCCAGGTAATCCAGGACCAAGCGGGCCAGTCGGGCCGCTTGGTGAAGCTGGTCCAGTTGGCGATCCTGGATTGCAAGGAGAACAAGGTTTAAGTGGTGGCCAAGGTCCAGCTGGACAGCGTGGAGATCCTGGTCCTCAAGGTCAACCAGGTTTGCAAGGTCAACCTGGACCTCAAGGAGTACAAGGTAGCCTTGGGGATACTGGAGCACCTGGTCCAGCTGGTAGAGCAGGAAGTCCTGGTAAATTTTTTTAACAGAAATCATTTAATTACAAATGTTAAAGAAAATTATATCGGTTTTATATTTGCAGAAAATAATGTGTATTTAAATATTTATTTGTAAGGCCCTGCTGGAAATCAAGGTCCTGTTGGCTTGCGAGGTGAACCAGGTTTCCAAGGTCAGCCAGGTTCTCCTGGTTCTCAAGGTCAAGCTGGTACACCCGGAACTCCTGGAGTTCAAGGATCAACAGGAGGCACTGGTGGTACAGGTTTCCAAGGCGCAACTGGAGCAATAGGATCTGTCGGATCACCGGGCTCACCTGGAACTCAGGGAGCTCAAGGAGATCCCGGGCAAAGAGGCGACCCAGGACCACGTGGAAATTCAGGGAACCCTGGTGCACAAGGAATTCAAGGTCCACGCGGTGATACTGGACCTAGCGGTTCAATAGGCCAGTCAGGTGCTCCAGGCTCAGCTGGTGCACTAGGAGTTCCAGGTCCTAACGGAGCTCCTGGGCTCCGAGGTAATGCAGGTCCGCCTGGGTTACAAGGTGCTCAGGGTCCATCAGGTCAAGCCGGACTTCCAGGCGATCAGGGTTCTGTTGGTTCTGGTGGCCAACCAGGAAATGCTGGTCAACCGGGAATAACAGGAGATGTAGGTGCTCCTGGATTGGTAGGTCAACCCGGTGCGACTGGCCAGCAAGGTGACACTGGCCAACAAGGTCCAATTGGTCAACAAGGAGCCAGAGGAGATACTGGGCCACAAGGTCAGCAAGGAGCACCTGGTCCACAGGGAAGTGCAGGAGATGTAGGCGTGCAAGGTAACACAGGAGCTCCTGGTCAAAATGGCTTACCAGGACCTCAAGGTGCTCCTGGTGATTCAGGTGCACCTGGTCAACCTGGGTCGCCTGGACAAAATGGAGCAAACGGCCAGCCAGGCTCACAAGGTGCTACCGGTGCTCCAGGTAATGCAATTCAGGGAGCTCCTGGTCAGATGGGAATGCAAGGAGCTGTAGGTAATGCCGGCGCACCTGGACCAAGAGGTCAACCTGGTGTATCTGGAGCAGTTGGAGTTCAAGGGGCTCCAGGTTCACGTGGTGATCCAGGATCGCAAGGGTTATCTGGTCCAGCTGGTGACACAGGACTTCAAGGACCTGCTGGTTTGTTCAATACGTCATGTTTTTATATATCGTTAAAATAAAGGTGAATTGGCGCATATATTATAAATGTTTTTCAATTTTCTAATATTAGCTAATATAGTTTATTACTTTTGTTGTTTTTTATTTGCATTTGCATTTTCAATTGTTTTACAATTAATAACATAGGCCAGCCTGGATCAGCCGGTTCACCTGGACAGAGAGGAACACAAGGAGCCACCGGACAACCTGGACCAACGGGCCAAAAAGGTCAAACTGGTCCGGTAGGTAGTGTCGGATCTACAGGTCCATCTGGAGCACGAGGAACACCTGGACAACGAGGTAACCCAGGCAACCCGGGTGTTCAAGGCCAACAAGGGCAGCGAGGACTAAACGGTTCACCGGGACCGAATGGAAATATGGGTGCTGCAGGTCAGCCAGGTCAACCAGGATTACAAGGTCAGCAAGGACAGCAAGGTGCTGCTGGGCCTAATGGAGCTGCTGGTCAGTAGTTTAGATAATTTTATTTCTCTGCTTTATAAAACGGTTTTGGTGTGTACATTTGGCTTCAAACATAAGTACAGTAAAGGTAATATCATTTATATTTTCTCCGTAGGTTGTCTTGTAAAATTTTTTTAAATTAATAGAAAATAAATTTGTTCTAGAAAATTTCAAATATTTCGAAAAAGTGTTATGATACTTTATAGTACTATTAAAAATACTACTTAACCGTGAAATTTATTTAAAGAAATGAATTTAACAGATTTGTTGAATAGAAATAATGGAATAATATTAGAACAACAATAATGAAATGCTTATATTTATTTTTTGCACAGGTGACACCGGATCATCAGGACCGCAAGGAGCTCGTGGAGATGTAGGACCAGCTGGGATACAAGGCCAAAAAGGTCAGCCTGGTGTGGTTGGTGACACAGGAGCTACCGGATCAACTGGATTTGCTGGTGTGGCTGGACCCCAGGGTCAGAAAGGTCAACCGGGTCCTCAAGGACCTTCAGGTCAACCTGGTCCCATTGGACAGAACGGTCAACCAGGAGCTCCAGGAGATAATGGTTTGCAAGGTGACACCGGTGCGACTGGGGATGTTGGAAACATTGGACCGAATGGCGCCCCTGGATCACCTGGTCTTAGAGGTAGTCAAGGAGCACCTGGTAACCAAGGACCTGTTGGAAATAGAGGGGATGTCGGACTGGCTGGAGCAGTGGGCATACCTGGTGCGCCAGGTTCCAATGGACAGCAGGGCGCTCAAGGTGAATTTAAATTCATTAATAACTTTTAAAAGTTTCAGAGTTGTTGCAGTTGTTGCGTTTTCAGAAATATTGTTATAACCGACCCCTTGAATTTGTAGGGTACAGTTATTTCTCTCTACGTGGATCCCTGACTCCTGAACAGACTTATTTCAAGTGAACTTTATGAGAAAGAAGACAGTGCTGGCAATCACTTGCGTGTATTGCTGTGATCAATCACTCATTTATCTAATCGTTAAAATTGTTAGAATACAGCACAATAACTAATCAACCGGTAAATCACGTAATAAAACCAATTGTCAATAATTAAGCTTCTCTCGTCAGACTGATATATTGAGTTCCTCTACCCTGGCATTCTTTTCTACAGTGAGTTTCCAGCTATCAATCTGACACCAGTGTTGTAGCCTCTTTGACCTCGCAACTACCAACACTGGTATTATATCTTCAGTAATCTCTATAACGTTTATTTAATACCAGCAGTAATAGAAACAATAAATTAATCCAAATAACTACGTGAATCACATTTGCGACTTTGCATCGAATCTCACTTCTACGTCCACTGTGTTCCGTCTTCTTCTCTTGTTTTCCTCTTCGTTGTTTATATAGCTACCGATTTGCTTGTTAGTGTTCCGCATAGCAATGTCACGCCCATGAATGTATTCACAACCTTTTAATTACTTTACATCTTCTAATTAATTTACAAGCGGTTCATTCCTCAATGCATGCTTAACAATTTCTGACTAATAGTTTTTATCTCGATCAAACGTCTGTAACATCTATATTATAGATGTTAAGGTGTCTTTAATTTTGTTAGGAAGTTATTCGAATTATATCATTCACTGTCGGCGTGCGTTATTGTTTTATTCACAACTCTGATGTTACAGCGTATTATAAGGACATTTTTTACAACATTCATCTGCCAAACAATGTCAATCAATGTCAAACAATTACTCTCTGTATTTTTTACATATGTATGGTGAATAAAGATAATTTTAAATGAAACATTCAAGGCCCAGCTGGACAGCCGGGACCCTCTGGTCCAATTGGACAGCCAGGTCAGCCTGGAGTTGCAGGAGCTCAAGGATCTGTTGGAGGCACAGGTGCTACAGGAAATCCAGGTACGCCAGGAGCCACTGGTTTGCCTGGTGATGCTGGACAGGCTGGCCAACAAGGCCAACCAGGATCTCCTGGCCAGCAAGGTGGCACTGGATACACAGGAAGTAGTGGTCAGTCGGGACCAGCTGGGAATCCAGGTCAGATGGGTCAACCAGGAGCAAGAGGAAGTCCTGGGCCTCAGGGCGCAACTGGTTTGCCTGGGGATCAGGGAGCTGCTGGAACTCCAGGTGGAATTTAAATTATGATATTTAAAATAAATAATTACATTTCGAATATGAAAATCTTTTAAACTGCCAATGTTATGTTGACGCTTTTTATTTTTGTAAGATTTTTTATTCTCGGTTTTAATTCTTTTTTTCGAATGTCAAGAAAATGTTGCTAAAAGTTATGTTGAGTTTTGTCAAGCCATTCTTATCTATTGCTGGTGTACTGGTAGGTGATGTGCTATTGCTAAGCTACTGAGTGAAATTTGATAGTGCTGTGTTGCTGTTTATGTGGATGTCAGTGATGGATGTTACGGCGGTGGATTGGGTTGAGGTGCTGATGGATGAAGTATTTGTGTTTATGAGTAGTGTGCGTGTTTGTCTGTATATGTGTGTGTGTGTGTGTGTGTGTGTGTGTGTTGATTGCTTGACATAATAATATTTAAGGTGATTAAAAGATAACATTATAAATATCGGTTATAAGATTGCTGATGCATTCTGTGTAAAGATGGACAAAACGAATCACTGTTGATACTTATAAAAATACTTTCGACTTTTTTTTATCCAGGTTCACCTGGTCCAGCTGGTCCTCAAGGACCAAGGGGTGATGTCGGTTTCACTGGACAAGTCGGAATTAGAGGTGCCGTCGGTGACACAGGCAGTACAGGTAACCAAGGTCCAACTGGGTCTAAAGGAGATTTAGGTACCCAAGGCCAACCCGGAATTCAAGGTGCTCCAGGACCCTCTGGCCAGCCCGGACAGCAAGGAGCCAAGGGTTCTCCAGGTCAAGCTGGAGATCAGGGTGCACCTGGAACTCAAGGTGCTCCTGGTGTACCTGGACCAAACGGCCAGGCAGGCTCACCTGGACCTCAAGGACCACAGGGTCAACAAGGATCACCAGGCGTGGCTGGCGCCAGAGGCGATCCAGGTAACAGAGGTGCACCTGGAATCAATGGAACACCAGGAGGCACAGGGGCAACTGGATTACCTGGTCAGTCTGGTGATGTTGGATTGCCTGGACCGTTAGGTCAACCTGGAGTTCCAGGAGCTGCAGGATTACCTGGTGATACTGGAGCACCTGGTTTCCCTGGACCATCTGGACAAAATGGTTCTCTTATCAGTTTTTTTTTATTTATTAATTTGTTCTAAGTTCAATTTCTTGTATTATTAGTTAAAATTTTTTTTCAAAATTTTGCATGATTGTTTCTCATGTGCAATAATATTATTTTAAAATTCACACGTTAAGGCTCGCCTGGACAAGCTGGTTCTCCAGGATTGAGAGGTGATCCAGGCACTGTGGGTCAACCTGGTGCTCAGGGAGTACAAGGACCGAAGGGTTCGCTTGGAGACACAGGATTTGCGGGACAACCTGGAAATATTGGTTTTCCTGGTGATACAGGAGTGTCTGGAAATCCAGGTCAACAAGGTCAGATTGGCCAACCAGGTGCTGCTGGTTCAATTGGATTGCCTGGTCCAGCTGGTGCTCCTGGACCAAATGGAGATGTAGGACTTCCTGGAGGACCAGGTGTGGCAGGAAATCCAGGTGCGCAGGGTGTTCAAGGAGATACAGGTGCAATCGGTCTTCAAGGTGCCACTGGACCCATTGGAGCTCCCGGAGTTAAAGGTCTTTCAGGTGATACTGGTCCATCGGGCCAGCCAGGTCAATCAGGTCAAAGGGGACCTGATGGAACACCAGGTCAACCTGGACAACCAGGTTCAGTTGGTGATACTGGAGCTCAGGGAGCTAAAGGTTCTCCAGGCACTCCAGGACCTCAAGGACCCAAGGGTGATTTGGGACAGCAAGGCCAGCCTGGTGCTGCTGGATTCCCAGGTAATCCAGGATCTCAAGGTCCTGTAGGCCAACCTGGTAATCAAGGTCAACCTGGTTCTCCAGGTCAGGTAGGGTCTCCGGGTTTGCCTGGACCAAATGGCCAAATTGGTTCTCCAGGAGTACAAGGACCACAAGGTGACAAAGGTATTCAAGGTGAAACTGGACCAGCTGGTTCCCCTGGCAATATTGGTCAACCTGGAATTTCAGGTCAACCTGGTCAGCCTGGACCAAACGGTCAGTCTGGTGCTCCAGGTCTAAATGGAGATCAGGGTGATACCGGATCATCTGGGTCTGTTGGAATGCAAGGTTTGTTCGTCTCATTGCAGTAATGTTATTAAATTGCAGCAGGATAATGCTTTCATTAAATTTTCTGTTACGATGCTCCTACATTCGCGCTTAATCTCATATTTTAAACTGGTCTGCCTTTAATTTTAATTAAATCAACCAGTTTAAGTAGTTATTCTCTTTTTCCTTACCTTTCTCAGTTGAGATGCTTGCTCCTGCTTTATGCAACAACTGCATCTTGCAGTTTCAACTAACATTGATAACATTAAATGGCATTCTAAATTTTATTTCTTTACCGACTTTGCTGTTTTACCTGCATAAAATTTCTTTAATTAGCTTGCATCTTTAGCAGGCTCCTTAATTTTTTTCACTTCCACGCATATTTAAAAAATAAAGTTAACTTATTTGAATTTTTCCACCAATACTTTCATCAAATTATCTTCAAATTTTGCATTTTGAAAGTCGTTAACGTAAACATTCTTTTTTTTCTTTACACGGTTTTTAAAAAATTTTACTTGCATCTTACAGATGTTTGGTAATAATAAATAAACGCCAACGATATTTCATGATTAGTTATTTATGAAAATTTTTAATTACTGTACAAGTTTTAGAATCAATTCTGTCGAATTATAGACTTAAAAATTTTAATTGACAGGTCCAATTGGTGCTGTCGGTCAGAACGGTCAACCAGGAGATACAGGCATGCAAGGTTTTATGGGTATAAAGGGAGCAACAGGCTTAAAAGGTCCTCCTGGGGATCCAGGAGTAGCTGGAAATCGAGGACAACAAGGTATTCCTGGTGGCCCTGGAGTTCAAGGTCAGCCAGGGGCTCAAGGTTCTCAAGGACCACAAGGCATCAAAGGGCCAACTGGATCTCTAGGTCAAATTGGAGCAATTGGACAACCAGGACAGCCAGGAGCAATAGGTGTTATTGGTCCAGCTGGCGCCAATGGAGTGCCAGGACTAAATGGTAGCCCAGGACTTCAAGGTGACCCTGGATCTAATGGAGCAAATGGATCTCCGGGTCAAATGGGTGTTCCTGGACCCAGGGGTTCACCTGGTTAGTTTTGTATTTTCATTTGATTTGTTAAAAATGTGTATATTTAAAAATGTAAAAATATTTGTTGTCAAGCAAATTAAATTTAAATGTTACAAAAGTTTAAATTTATAAATATGAGCTAATCTATTGTCTCTGTTAGTGATTTATTGATTGATTGGTTGATAAATTCAAATTTATTTGGCAGCCCACAAAACAAAATGAAAATTTTCATGCAGGTGTCTCCGGATCTCAAGGCGGGACAGGTGCTACGGGGGATATTGGCTTCGCAGGAGCTACTGGTGTGCAAGGCCCCAAAGGCAACATGGGTAGTCCCGGTAGTCCAGGAAATGCTGGTCCTCAAGGAGGTTTGTTTCTTAGCGTAGAAATTTGAATGAACTTGAATGTCTAAAGCACCAAGGTGTACAGATTTACAAATGTGGATGAGAGTGTCTACATAATTTTATTTTGTTACTCATCACGTCCGCCCATGTTACTGTGGCAAATTTTATTTGCTATCCACATTAATATTTTTTACTTGTACTTTTACGATACGTTTTGTTTAATGTTGCTTCTATTTTATTTGTTTATTATTCTTACTTTAGTTTTTTTCTTTTCCTCACACGAGCCTCCAACGTTTTATGTTTGAGATGTATAGGGAAAATTATTTTTTTGGGCCCGTAATTCTGTAAAAAAATAAATAAAAAAAATAAATAAATAATGAAATTCAATTTTTTAAATTTTTATTAAGATTTATATTGAATGTTTTAAAATTTGTTGATAGCAAAAGGTTTACCGGGCATTCAAGGCAGTCCTGGTCCTCAAGGATCTCCGGGTAATCCGGGACAACGTGGTGATATTGGACAGCAGGGACAAGCTGGACTCCAGGGTCCAACGGGTCAACCTGGTCAATCAGGTCAAAGAGGATCGCAAGGTTTAAGAGGTGATCCAGGTCAAAATGGAGCTAATGGTCAGCAAGGTCAACCTGGACCAAAAGGCTTGACAGGAGATCCTGGTTCACCTGGATCCAACGGACAACAAGGGCAGCAGGGATTGAGAGGTGATCCAGGACCTGTTGGTGATACTGGAATCTCAGGAGATACTGGCTCGCCTGGTCCACAAGGTTAATACTAACTGGTAAATTAAATTATTACGATTTGTTTCATTTCATTTTTCAATAAATTTCAGGCCAAGTTGGACTGCAAGGACTAGCTGGACCTCGTGGTGATACAGGACTTCAAGGATCTCTCGGAAATGCTGGTCAACCAGGACCTAATGGGCAACAAGGTGATACAGGACCAGCTGGTAATCAAGGTCAACCTGGATTGCCTGGAGACTTAGGCCAACCTGGATCTCCGGGTCCCATGGGTGCACAAGGAGCTCTTGGACCTTCAGGAGCGCCCGGCCAACCGGGTCAGCAAGGTCAGCAAGGTCAAAGAGGTGATTCAGGTTTGCAGGGCGACCAAGGGCCATCAGGACAACCAGGAAACATGGGTCCAGCAGGACAGCCTGGCTCTCGTGGATCAGTTGGGCAGCCTGGTGTTGCAGGAACGCCTGGATTAAGAGGACTTCAAGGTCCACAAGGAAATACCGGTTCTTCAGGTTTGCAAGGCCAACGTGGTGATCCGGGACCTCAAGGTTCGCAAGGTCAGCCTGGATTACAAGGCTTTCAAGGTGCTGTTGGATCTCAAGGAAATCCTGGTCCTCAAGGACAAAATGGTGTCAGAGGTGAACCTGGGTCGACAGGGACACCTGGTTCAAATGGACTGCCAGGTATTTATCTAATTTAATTGTGTATTCTAGGGTGGGTCACTTTTGTATGTAAAAAAATAAAAGTCGACCAATCATATTCTAATAGCATTATTTTATTGTAGTGAAATAGTTTTAGTGAAATAAAAGAACGCTTATCTTCAGCCCGCGCATGATCGGCAAACTATTTCAAAAAGTCCTATTCATTAATGTCATAGGCTATTTATTGAAAGCTCGACTAAATACGATTCTAACAAGAAAAATGTTTTTTAAGGACTCAGTAACATTAAAAGCTAAAACTTTAATCAAATAAACATAAGTTATAAAATAAATTGCTTTTTTTTTATACTAGAAATCCTGCTTGCTGTCAAATTTTAGCATAATTTTTCTGGAAGCAAGTTTCACATGAATGATACCATCCTTTGATTTTTTGTCACATGCTGACATCACAGCTTTTGTAACTATTTTAACACATCCTTCAACAGCTTGCTAATTTATAAGATCAATGTAACATTTAGCATCAAAATTCAGTTCAAGTATTTGAAAAACACGTGGTGGTTTTCCAGTAACAAGTAAACTACGACCCTTTAAATTTCTTCTGGCTGCTTGTTCTCTTACGTGCTTTTCTTTATCAGTTAACATCGCCAACAGCAAGTTTTCTGGAAGTAGACAAGAAACATGGAAAACTGAATTGATAAAAAAGTTTGTGCGAGGTTTGGGAAAATAAAAATCGGTGTTATGTCTCAAGAGTATTAAACGATCATTGATTAAATGGTTTTATTGATTACGCAAAGAGGAACAGTAATTTAATTTAAATAATTTATAAAAAAAAACATTAAAGTGTGTGGAATATGTAGTTGATGAACTTTTAAAATTGTGGATGAAAGAAACAAATGACTTACATGATCAATATTAAATAAACCAAACATAATACGAATAAAAAAGTTTTGACAGAGATATAAAATTCGAATATTAGATTTTGTAGTGAAACCCCAAATGGAAATACAATAACTATTAAATGGCAAAACAAGTGAATTATATAATGTGTAGAATATGTTGAGGAAACTTAGATCTTAGTCGATAAATTATGCCTAAATTTTTTGTAATTTTTGTGAAATGAATTGAATGCGACTAGACCAGGATAAATTTTGTTGATTCAACCCTGTCAATGTAAACTTTATTTAGACCAAATAGAATAAAATTAGTTTTAGCGATGTTTATTCCTTAGATATTGGATAGGACCCAGTTGTATACAGTAAGCAACTCATAATTGAGAATTGATGCAAGCTGATTAACATTAGAATTAGATAACAACAATGTAGAATCATCAGCAAATAAAATGAATTATAAAATTTTTGATGAATTAATAAAATCATTAATAAAAATATTAAAAAATAGAGGACCAGGGATGGAGCCTTGGGGAACACCAGTAGAAATAGGAGTAAGAGAAGATATAGAATTATTAATCTTAACGTGTTGATATCTTTCTTTTAAATATGTAACAGACCAATTATAAGCAATGCCTCTAACATCGTACTTAGAGATAATTTATACAACAAGATAGTATGGTCGAGAGAATCGAAAGCATTAGATAAGCCAAGAAAGACACAGATACAAACTTTTTTAGATTCTAAAGCATTTGAAATATAGTTAACCACATCGGCTATAGCAAACTCGGTGGAGTGTTTAGCTCGAAAACCATATTGATTAGAGATTAATAAATTATTTGAATCAAGAAAATTAGTAAGTCTGATAAAAACAATTTTTTCTGCTTTTAGGAACAAGATTCAGAATGCAGCGCTGGTTTTTGCGACACTGGTTTGAGAGTTGATATTATTATTTGAACTTTTTTTTATTAAAAACAGATTTGGTTAAAGGGATATAAGATAAAGCATTTACATTAATAGACTTGAGATGGTTGATAACGTCTTCAGAAGTACATTGATCTAATTTACCGACGTAGACAATTTTCTTACGCGGCTCAATCTTCATTGGTCTTAATGTTGATGAACAGTTGGTTTTTTTACCAATCACTTTTTTAGTCTGATCAATTTTTTATTTGCGTTGCACAAATAGAAGTGTCTCTTATTTAACCACGACTGGAGGTAAGGTTCTGGGTTTTATTTTATTTTTACCGCGTTGAACTAGCGTGAAGTTATCGTCAGTCTGATTGTTATCACTGTGCATCATTAGTAAAAGTAGGTGTTTTTATTGCTTCACTATTCGAATTAATGTTTCTGTTGATACGACGTGCACTGTTTGAAATCGCGTTATTTTAAGGTTAAGTTAAATTTGTACCAACTTCAATACTTTCTGCTGCAGCAACTGGTCTATAAAATTCAAGCCTCATTATACAATAAACCTGGATTATTGGTTAAAAAATACAATAATTCATTAACGACAATTGCCTTAGACGCCATTTTCGAGTACATAATGGTTACATATTTACGACAACAACGGTAAAATTTGGGAGCAATTCTTATTTTCCATAGTTTTTGAGGTAGAAGTTGAGGGCTTTTCTTGATTTTGTCTAACTTTCCGGCAGATGAAATACTTGTAACTGAATCACCATTTATTGATGAAATTAATACTTTTTCTGGCATTTTGGACTGTGTGTTATCAGTATCACTCTTCTGGCGGTTAATGTTGATGCATATTTCCGAGCTAACTTTTTTTTAAATTTTTAGTCCGATTGCGATCAATACTATCGATTCTCATGTTTTGTTTAACGTTGACTAAATATTTTAGAAAAAAAAACAATTAAAAATAATAATTAACGGATTTTCAATAAAATTTTCTAGATATATTTCCTGCCAAAAACTGGTTTTTAGAATAAATGACATAATTTAAATACCAAAATTAGCATGCATTTCAACGAATTCCAAGCGACGACCAAGATACCGTAGCAAAAAACTGTTTTTTTTTAAATGTGACGGCATGTTGTTTGTTGATAAACGCTTTTTGGATCGCTGTATTTTTATTTTTTCCTTTTTTCCACAAAACTTCATCGGCTTTGCGCGGGTTCTTCCACTTTAAATAATTCAATAATCTTTTAGATGGTTCATCATGATGTCTTATTACAACATGATTTCGCTATACAACATGATTCATTTACTAAAAAATTTTTTTTGACGCACCCTAGTGTATATTATTGATTAATAACTTTTCAATTATCATAATAATTTTTTTAAATTGTAAAACTTTGAAGTGGCCTTGTTTGAAGTTGTTAATTATTGATTCCATTTTCTTAACATTTATTTAAGAAATTAATTCTACAAAAACAATTATAGAATGAATGATTCAACAAAATTTTTTTTAAAATCATTGCTATGTATCATAGAGGGAAACCGACAGAACATTTTGAACAATATTTGTAGGTTCTACTGGACCAACAGGACCAAAAGGAAATCTAGGAGAGCAAGGAGCGCAAGGTGCACCTGGGGCACCGGGAATAAATGGACAGCAAGGTGCAACTGGTATGCCGGGTCTCAATGGTGCCAATGGACCAATTGGCAGTCCTGGTTCCCAAGGACAACCAGGTCTCTCTGGATCTCCAGGTCAGCAGGGTCAAAGAGGAGACAATGGCTTACCAGGTTCTACAGGAGCTCCTGGCTCTAAAGGCCAGCAAGGCAACAAAGGTTTACCAGGCAATTCAGGATCATCTGGAACACCCGGTCAGCCTGGAGCTCCAGGTACTCAGGGATCTACTGGTTCAGTTGGTGCTAATGGAGCAACTGGTCTTCAAGGCTTACAAGGTGATGCGGGAACACCTGGACAACCTGGTCAACGAGGCCAACCTGGGTTGCCAGGAACTGACGGTCAGCCGGGATCTCAAGGACAACAAGGATTACGGGGTGAACAAGGACAACAAGGTGTGGCAGGCTTTCCGGGTTCTGTTGGACAACAAGGTGTGCAAGGTCTTCAAGGAGCAAGAGGTCAGACAGGATCACCTGGTCAAAATGGACAACAAGGACCTCAAGGTTCATTTCTTTAGAAATTAGTAACACACATGCACACGGACGCGTACCATTATTTTATGTACATACGTTATCGTGCATGCACGCAAGCATACATAGAAATGAACGTGCACGCATATTATACATAGTTAAGATACGATAAACTTTGGCATACATTTACACACTCACGTTCAAATCAATTGTGGAAAATGTACTCTCATTTAATTTTATGTTGTTTTAGTAGCTGTGCAGCACTTAATGCAGCATGCTGTTCATAGTAATATAACTGTTAACAAATTTACAGGAGCAACTGGTCTTACTGGTCCAGTGGGACCTCGTGGAGATACAGGAACCGCAGGTCAACCTGGTCAACCAGGACAACAAGGTCAACCTGGAGTTAGAGGAAATCCAGGAGCTCAAGGGCCTCAAGGTAGTCAAGGTGCTCTTGGACCATCTGGTCAAAACGGGGACGTTGGATCTCCTGGACCACAGGGGGCACAGGGAGCTACTGGTCCCGTTGGAGCGGCTGGAGTTCAAGGATCTAAGGGTCAGCCTGGACCATCAGGACAACCGGGAGCCAACGGCCAAACCGGAAGTACTGGAGCCTTCGGTCCCAAAGGTCTTACTGGAGATCCAGGTGCTGCTGGTTCACCTGGAGTTGCTGGACCAAGAGGAGACCAAGGATCGCAAGGTCTGTCAGGAGATCCTGGCACTCCAGGAACACCTGGGCAGAGAGGAGATACTGGACAACCTGGAGTGCAAGGTTAATGGTTTATTTAACTTTTATTCTTTTATCGTAAAAAGATTCTAATGCAAGTCAAATGAATTGATGATTGAATTACTTTAAAATTTTAAAATCTAAAATTTTATTTTAAACTTAATAACCTTGTATATATACTTCGTAATGCATTTAAAAAAATTTTTTTTGTCATATTTAGTATATATTTATTGTTTTATTATATTTATCAATACCAGGTTTATTTCTTAATTTTACATTTTATTACCAAATATGATTTAATTTAAATTTAGGGCCCCAAGGCATGCAAGGACCAAAAGGTCAGCCAGGAGCTCCAGGACAATCTGGACAAGTCGGACCAACTGGACCAATTGGTGCTAATGGACAAGTTGGCGATCCCGGTACAGCAGGCCAAGCAGGTCAAAGAGGTGATCCTGGTCAAAGAGGTCAACCAGGAGCAAACGGACAACCTGGAGCACAAGGTTTACAAGGAGATGCTGGATCTCCCGGTCAGCCAGGACAACAAGGACCGAAAGGACCACAAGGACAGCCAGGTTCTCAAGGCGATGCTGGCCAACGTGGTCAACCTGGAGTTAATGGAATACCTGGTCAACCAGGCCAACCAGGTCTTATTGGTCAACCTGGTCCACAAGGTAGCCAAGGTGCAAGAGGTCAACCAGGTCTTCAAGGAGACATAGGACTGCCTGGTCAACCAGGATCGCAGGGGCAACAAGGATCTACTGGCTCTCCAGGTACTCGGGGAAATCCAGGACCAGCTGGATCAATAGGCCAACCTGGTTCTCCTGGAAATAATGGTCAACCTGGACCAGTAGGTGCTCAAGGTGACACTGGGCCTCAGGGACCTGCTGGCGATATAGGATTCCCTGGAGATGCTGGAACAGCAGGTCAGCTTGGTTCACCTGGGTCGCAGGGTCCGACAGGTCAACGTGGTGCAGCAGGACTACGAGGTCAGCCAGGTGTCAGAGGTCAGCCTGGAAATGCCGGTCCTCAAGGTAATATTGGACCTAGTGGTAGTCCTGGATCACGTGGGAATCCTGGTGCTACTGGAGCTGTTGGTTTTCCCGGTGCTCAAGGATCTCCTGGTGCGCAAGGTGACACTGGTCCCAGTGGACCACAAGGTCCTCGAGGCCAAACTGGTAATAGAGGTCAACCTGGAAGTCCTGGGCCAAACGGACAGGCAGGAGCTTCGGGTCAGCCAGGTCAACTGGGCGCTCAAGGTCAGCTAGGAGTGAAAGGTGCTACTGGAAGTACTGGTGCTCAGGGTGATGCTGGACCAAGAGGTGAAACTGGCCAGCCTGGAGCACAGGGTCTTTCTGGACAGGCTGGCGATCCTGGACCGCAGGGTCCCATTGGTCCTACTGGATCGAAAGGTGCTCGTGGTGATAAAGGAATAAATGGAAGAGCTGGAGATCTTGGAGATACTGGATCAAGTGGTCCTCAAGGTGATACAGGAAGTTCTGGACAAATGGGTCAAATGGGTGTTCAAGGACAACCTGGACAACCAGGCTCACCAGGTTTTGCAGGCCTAATAGGACAGCCAGGTGATACAGGATTTCCAGGAAGTCCTGGCCAACGAGGAAATAATGGTGAGGTTTTATTGAAAAATGATTTGCACTTTAATTTTCTTGTAGATTTTTGTTACTTAATAAAAAATAATTGGTAGGAATAATATAAAAGCGTTCATAGAATATTTAATTTGAATATTTTATGAATTTTTTTTTCACAGGTCAACCAGGCAGCGTGGGAGCTACAGGTGAGCCAGGTCAATCTGGTGCTCCCGGTCAGCAAGGTCCAGCTGGCCAACCTGGATCAACCGGGCCAGCTGGAAACAAAGGTCAACCTGGAGATCAAGGTTTACAAGGAGTTCCAGGAGAAGTTGGTGTGGCTGGACCTCAAGGCTCGGCAGGACCTCGTGGAGATGTGGGAACGCCAGGAAACCCTGGTCAACAAGGACCACAAGGAGTTGTTGGTCCCACTGGACTGAAAGGTGATCCTGGTCCACAGGGTCAAATGGGTCAACCTGGACCTCCTGGACCAACACCTCAAATAGGAGAACAGGGAGGCATTGGACCTTCAGGTGATCCAGGGTTTACGGGTAGCACTGGAGGAACTGGATTTCCTGGTAGTCAAGGTTCAATTGGACCACTTGGTGCACCTGGTCAACCTGGTATGATAGGTTTATCAGGAGATATTGGTATGCCAGGTCTTGCTGGCTCACCTGGACCGCAAGGATCTCAAGGTAGCAAAGGATCTCCTGGTCCCCCTGGGGAACGAGGATCGCAAGGTGCCAGGGGTCCTAATGGAAACAATGGAGTACCGGGTAAAATGTTTTTTACATTAACAATTTTTAAATAACATTTTGATACAATTTGTGTTACTTTTCTTGTCTATCAGGCCCAGCTGGTTCAATCGGAAATCCTGGACCAAGAGGTGAAGCCGGACCGCAAGGTCAACAAGGTCAGCAAGGACCTCAGGGACCTCCAGGCTCAAGAGGTTTGCAGGGATCACCTGGACCTTTAGGTGCTAATGGACTTCCAGGTGCAAATGGACCTGCAGGATCAGCTGGTGTACCTGGTTCCACTGGTGACACAGGTCAAAGCGGACAACCGGGACAGTCTGGACCTTCTGGAAATCAAGGCCCCCAAGGTGATACTGGTGCGCCAGGTGATATTGGCTTTCCTGGTAATCCAGGAGCCCAAGGATCTCCTGGTCCAGCTGGAAATTCTGGAAATCCAGGTGCTCCTGGTATGCCAGGTGTTTCTGGACCAAGAGGACAAACAGGTCAACCCGGTGATACTGGTCAAACTGGATCTAAAGGACCATCTGGACCTACTGGCAGCCCTGGAACTCAAGGTTAATTTTGTTATTTTAATTTTTTTCATACTAAATTTTTTCATTTATTTGCCCAATTTATTTCTGTGACGTACAGGTCAGTCGGGTTCACCTGGTCAACAGGGTCAACGCGGGCAACCTGGACCCCAAGGAGGTGTTGGTGCCACTGGATCTACCGGTAACCAAGGTTTAAGAGGAGATCAAGGCCCTCAAGGTTTACCTGGCCAAATTGGACAACAAGGACCAAGGGGGGATCAAGGATCTCCAGGCCCTCAGGGTTTAATGGGTCAACCAGGTTCGCAGGGGAATCCAGGTCCAATGGGTTCATCTGGACAAAGAGGAGATCCTGGCAATCAAGGATCTAAAGGTCAGCCTGGTTCTCCAGGTTCTCAAGGAGCCACTGGTCCAGCTGGTCTGATGGGTCAACAAGGTCAACGCGGAGATCCAGGTCCAAGTGGAAATCAAGGTTTACCTGGTTTTCAAGGTCAACCTGGTCCCAGAGGTGAAACTGGTTTGCAGGGTGTTCAAGGTCCTCAAGGTATAAAAGGATCACCTGGATCTGTTGGAGCTACCGGTAACATAGGTATGCCTGGAGACCAAGGATCACCTGGTCCTATAGGACAACAGGGTACTCCTGGTCAACCTGGAAGTCAAGGGCCACCTGGAGATCAAGGTTCAAGAGGAGATACTGGGGCTAGAGGACCAACTGGAGCTACTGGGCCTAGCGGACAACGTGGTGAAGATGGATCGCAAGGGCCACAAGGACCTCAGGGAGCTCAGGGACCACAGGGAGAAGCTGGAACCCCTGGATCAGTTGGACCGGTTGGTTTGCCTGGGCAGCCTGGAGATATTGGACAGCCTGGAAATGCCGGTGAGTTGATCATTTAATTGCATATTTGAAACATTATGTTGACTTAAACCGAAGCTATCGGTAGATTAGTGAATTGAAATATTTTTTAAGAGAACAACTAATTGGTATTATAATGTTCAAAAGATTTAAAATTGTATTCATTCATTAAAATGATTTAAGTAATGGAAATTTTTTCAAAAGTTAAAAATTAAAAGTTACAAATCATTCTTTTTTCTGTTATTTATAGGTAACAACAACAACACACACAGCATTCACCAATACGCCTAATACAGAAATTGCATGTGATAGTCGGGGATCTCTTCACATTCGAACCTCGGTCACTGCATTAGCAATGCCAGACACTTAAACAGTTACACCATCGTGTTGATCGGCGTTTTATTTTATGTTGCTCAATTTCAGTTAACATTCAGTTCGTTTCCTTTTTGGAAATTTTTTAAAAACTTTTTATGTGTCAAAATTGTTTCATAAGTTAAAAGTTCATTTAATATCTGATTTCTTCAGCCGTAGTTTTTGTTACGTTTTGTTATTCAATGACATATTTTGTCTATTCACTTCATTGCATCATTATCTCTCAACGATTATCGCTTTCTCATTTTCTTGTTCTTTTGTAAATATTCATATTTTATTAGCGCTAAAATTAATGATAGTTAATTTTTGAATGATTTCATAAATTTTAGCATCAAATTTTAAAAATTGCTAATAGGAGCAGTTGGAGTTTCAGGAACGCCTGGAGCCACTGGAGCAACGGGCAACACAGGACAACAAGGTCCAGCTGGTCCCATGGGATTACCAGGACCTGCTGGGGACACTGGTCAGCCTGGACCTATCGGACCTATTGGTGGCCAGGGAGAAGCCGGACAAAACGGCCCACAAGGTCTTCCGGGTGCAAGCGGACCGTCGGGACCTGTCGGACCTCAAGGAAATGCCGGACAACGAGGGGCACCAGGACAACCTGGATTCACTGGATCGCCTGGTCAGCCAGGACCTGCTGGAAACAATGGGCAACAAGGTCCTAAAGGAACTCCTGGAGATACTGGGTCAACTGGACAACCTGGATTACCTGGACAACCTGGATCAGTAGGTCAACCAGGAAGTCAAGGTCTTAGAGGTCAAGCAGGAATTCAGGGGTCTAATGGCCAACCAGGATCACAAGGTGTGTATAACAATTTTGTGAGACTGTACAACAATGACATTATCTCGTGTTTTAATTTTAAATTAATCTACCTTATATTTTATTTTAAATCATTTAATTGCAGAAAAATATATATCCATACACAGGTGCAACAGGACCTATGGGTCCCCCAGGACCCCAAGGAGACACAGGTGCACAAGGCGGTGTAGGTGATACAGGATTTCAAGGACAACCAGGTGATGTCGGAAGTCCAGGACAACGTGGGAATCCAGGAAATGTTGGAGACACTGGTCAAACTGGTGACACTGGATCATCCGGCCAGCAGGGAGTAAGAGGAGTAAACGGACTTCCTGGCGCTGCAGGACCAATGGGACCTACAGGACCACAAGGTCCAAGAGGTCCACAGGGTGCTCGAGGAATTCCAGGCCTGAATGGAGAACAAGGAGTGCAAGGTGATACTGGGCCTCTAGGTCAACAAGGACCACAAGGTCAAAGAGGAGATCCTGGACAAGCTGGCAATCCCGGAGCGATAGGAGCACCTGGCCAACCTGGTGTTAACGGTTTACAGGGAGGCAGAGGAAATGACGGAATTCAAGGTGCAAAAGGTGCGACTGGACCTGCAGGCTTCAAAGGATTACAAGGAAGCATTGGTCTTCTTGGAGCGCCAGGTTCTCAGGGCTCACCTGGGCAAGTTGGTTCCACTGGTGGTACTGGTCAACCTGGTCCACAAGGTTTTCCAGGACAGAGAGGTCCCATGGGATCTCCAGGACCACAGGGTAATCCTGGACAACAAGGACCATCAGGACCGGCAGGCCCTCGAGGTGATCTCGGACAAATGGGAATACCTGGAGATGCAGGTGTGAATTATGCAAATTTTAATATTTTTTCATGTTCATTATGTTTATAATGTCTAAATTATTGTAAAAGTTGTCAGCAAATAATTATTAGAACGATAACGGTTTGCAATCTTTTTTTCATTAGCAAATTTTCAATTTTTCGCATTTTCTTTGTTGAATATTGTTTACTGTTTGACATCAGGTGCAATAATCATTCAACGTGTGGTGTTGTCTTGCGTTAGTGATTAATGATATAAGTATTCACTTTGCAATTTTTACTTAATTCATGAGTATGCAGTGTCATTTCAGACATGAATTTTATTTATTTGAGACATTTGAGACATTTTATTTCATCAAATCAACCAATGAAATAAGAGAGGTGAAATCAATGAAAGGAAATGATCTTGAAATCGAAGAGTAATCTGGACTTCTTGTAATGATCGCCACTGTCAGTTTATAATAATGACAAATAATCAGATTTAAAAATTTCCAAGTAGTGAAAACAAAACAAAAATTTAAAACAAAAACAAAACTGGCTTATACAAATTTTTAGCATGACGTTTGTAATGGTTTAAACATTCGTTAAATTTATTTCAACATTCTGAAATATTTTGCATACATAAATTATGGACAATCACAAAATGACAAACAAGAATTATATTTATACAATCGTATGCACATGACTATGCGTATTTTATAATGAAATCAATATTAATTTAGCGTCAGATAAACATTTATTTCAAATAATTAAAAAAAATATATCACCTAATATTTTCAAATCTGACATTCTTCAAGGATCACCTGGTCAACCTGGGCCACAAGGGCAACGAGGAGATCAAGGACCAGCAGGAAGTCCAGGGCAACAAGGTTCACCCGGTTCCAGAGGTTCACCTGGAGAAATTGGAGATGCAGGAAATATGGGTCAACAGGGACCTGCTGGTCCATCTGGTTCTCTAGGTCAACCAGGTCAGCAAGGTCAAAGAGGTGATATTGGCTCACCCGGATTGCCTGGCACTCCTGGTGCTGTAGGGACTAAAGGTGCTCAGGGTGATACTGGAAGTCCTGGTGAAGCTGGATTTGCTGGATCACCAGGAATGCAAGGAACGCCTGGAGCCCCAGGTGCGACAGGTGCAACTGGACAAACTGGTCAGCAAGGTGATACTGGATCACCAGGCCCTAATGGACAACCTGGAGTAAGAGGTCAACCTGGTCTGAATGGAGATCCTGGCTCGAGAGGAGAAAATGGTTTAAGTGGTTCACAAGGAGTTCGTGGATCTGTTGGTGCCCAAGGACCTGCAGGACCACAAGGACCACAAGGTCTCAGAGGTGACAATGGTTCGCCAGGTATGGCTGGATCTCCTGGACCAAGTGGACAGAATGGACAAGCTGGATCCATTGGCGTTCCCGGTATGAATTATAATTGAAATGGAAGTGCTTTTTATTATTCAACAAGCTACATGAATTTTTATAAGTTTTTATTAATTTTTGGTTTAATTTTTTTTTATTTTGTGAAGAGCCGCTGCTTGTGCTTCAAATAAATTAAAATAATTACATTAAACCTTATTTAAATTTTGTCGTTGAATTATGATTTTTATTTAAAAATTATACGAAATCTTTCCTATTTTTAAGGTTCTCCTGGAGCAATAGGGGCTCCAGGCGCTAATGGTCCACCAGGCCAACCTGGTCAAGATGGTTCCCCTGGACCCCAAGGAAATCCAGGCAGTAGAGGCATTTCCGGGTTACCAGGAACTCAAGGTTCTCAAGGCAATAAAGGTTCTCCTGGACCGCCAGGGCCCGCAGGACCGGCGGGACTTCGTGGATCTCCAGGTCAACCAGGACCAGCTGGACCAGCTGGTCAAATTGGTCCTGTAGGAGCACCCGGTTTAAATGGTCAGCAAGGTGCCACTGGAAATGCTGGACAGCAAGGTCCTCAGGGTCCCTCTGGTCCAGCTGGATCTAGAGGACAACCAGGTCCTGCAGGTCCCAACGGAGGACCCGGGCCAGTTGGACCCCAAGGTGAACAAGGACCATACGGACCATCAGGAGATACTGGCAGCAAAGGAACTAAAGGGGACGTTGGTTTCCAAGGTGCACAGGGTGCTAGAGGTCAGCCTGGTCTTCCTGGAATACCTGGATCTGTGGGAGGGACTGGACCTGTGGGACCTTCTGGAACCATAGGTCCAAGAGGTGACCCAGGACCACGAGGAGCCACTGGAGTTACTGGAGATACAGGTCATTTTTTATTTATTTTTGTTGTTACGTTGTTACATATAATTTTCCCAAAAGCAAACGTTAGTATTTCATTGATTGCGAGTGTTAAATCCAGCATTAAGTTTTCATGTAAATGTTTGGATGCAAACGATATACAAATATTTGCAAATGTTGATATCTTGTTTATTAAATATTGATGTTAACATATCGATATTATTATAAACATATACCGTTGGTCAGATTTTTAAAAATTCTCAAAAACATTGACAACCAAGTTGTGCTTCGTTAAACGAATTAATTTATTTCTGAATGTGAATACATTCATTTTAAATCCTAGATATGCGCTGTTCACTTCATTTTTTTCTAGAAAATAATGGTAAAAATAAAATTGCTTTTTGTTGTATTTGTTTTATCAGGAAGCACTGGTCAGCCAGGTTCACAGGGTTCCAGAGGTCCAACCGGAAGTCCTGGAGCAATTGGTCCTAATGGCAATCCAGGTCCAAGAGGAGAAATTGGTCAACCAGGTCCTCAGGGACTTCAAGGACAGCAAGGAGGTCCTGGTTCAGTTGGTCCAGTGGGACCGAGTGGTAGTCCCGGACCACGTGGTGATAATGGATTATCTGGAACTGTAGGTTCAACGGGAGCTACTGGACCCCCGGGACCTCAAGGAACAAAAGGATCACCAGGTCAGGTTGGTCCTGCTGGACCAATTGGTGCCGCTGGACCAAAAGGTAATCCTGGAGATGTTGGATTGAATGGACCTAGTGGGCAAAATGGAGTAATCGGAACGCAAGGAATTAAAGGAGCTACTGGTGACACTGGTCCCATTGGTCCCGTTGGTCCCATCGGTCTATCCGGTCCGGTTGGTTCACCTGGACCAGCTTCAACTGGACTTCCTGGACCATCTGGCCAACCTGGAGTGAGAGGCGATGCAGGATTGGTCGGACCTCAAGGTTGGTTTGTTTGTTTATTGAAATGATTGTTTACGTAGGACCACTACAAATCCTAATTAAACTCATGTACTGTGCAGCATTGTACGTACGGGAATGACAAAATTAACAATTCATATTTCCAAAAAAAATATTATTGGATTAGGAATAAAATTAACAGCGTGAAATGTTATTTTTAATTGTTGTGAATTATGATGAATGAATTAATTAATTTATTTATTTATTCATCAATACAAATCTACATATCTACAATACAACACAATCGCCATTTATTATGAACTGCTAATTAAATAAATACTAACGATAGACGTAAACAAATTATACGAATAAATAAAACTTTCAAACACTATGACGCAGGATCTACCGGTCCTACTGGACAGGCTGGTCAAAGAGGTCCAAGTGGAGCAAATGGACTTCAAGGTCAGCCGGGACAGCCGGGACCAATTGGACCTGCTGGAAATGTAGGACCAACTGGTGACCCAGGAACCAGAGGCCAACCTGGTGGTCCAGGACCTCAAGGACCGCAAGGATCACAAGGAATAAGAGGTCCAAGTGGTCCTTTGGGAGCATCAGGGGCACCAGGAAATCCTGGACCGGCTGGTAGTGCTGGTCTGTCAGGACCTAAAGGCCTATCTGGACCAGTAGGTCCTTCTGGTAGTACAGGTGCAACAGGTTTCCAGGGGTCGCCTGGGCCATTTGGTCCTAGAGGAGCCACTGGAGATCCTGGAGTGACTGGGTCGATTGGAAGCCCTGGCTCCATTGGTCCTAGAGGTGACATTGGTTCTCCTGGTTCAATGGGACCTGCCGGAGCACCTGGACCTCTTGGACCTACTGGATCTCTCGGACCATTAGGATCTCCTGGTACTTCCGGAGCACCTGGTTTGAAAGGAGATAAAGGAGATAAAGGACAATCCGGACCGTCTGGTCAACCAGGCTTATCTGGTCCTCTTGGAGCACCTGGATCACCAGGTCCATCCGGACTTAGAGGAGATGTTGGTTTACCTGGCTCACCTGGAGCTGTTGGACCTCCTGGAGAAATGGGTCAGACGGGTTCTGCAGGTCCACCTGGTCAGAGAGGCTCACCCGGTAATCCCGGTTCAATAGGTCCAATTGGTCCGGCTGGAAATAAAGGAGGCATTGGTCAAAATGGTGCGCCAGGCCCGGCTGGAAGTATCGGAGGTGCTGGATTACCTGGTCCTTTTGGACCAGTGGGTTCAACTGGGCCAATTGGACCTTTGGGTCCACAAGGACAGCCAGGACCTTCTGGCAGCCCTGGACCACGAGGAGACATTGGACCTCCGGGACCATCTGGTTATCAAGGAATTCCCGGTCCCAGTGGATCTCCTGGAAACACTGGTTTGATTGGTCCCAACGGTGAAGTAGGACAACCTGGTGCGACTGGTGCAAGGGGTGATTCGGGAAACACGGGACCCATGGGACCTATAGGGCAGAACGGTCAAGCCGGACCTCGAGGTCCTCCTGGTTCTCCAGGTAACGTTGGACCACCTGGTAAACAAGGACTTCCTGGTCAACAAGGAGCACAAGGCATTTCTGGAACAATGGGTAACAGTGGACCAGCTGGACAAATGGGTCCCTCTGGTATGTTTGGTCCTCCGGGCCCGCCTGGTGGAACAGGTAACACTGGCAGTCCAGGCAGTTATGGTGATGCGGGTCTTGCTGGCCCTCCTGGATACACTGGACAGATAGGACCACCCGGACCTGCAGGACCAAGAGGTTAATTTATAATGCTTGCTTTGTATGGTAATTTCTATAAAACAATCTCGTGTTCAAAAGTTCTCCTAATTGTAAATATACGAGGATGGTGTTTGGTTTGATTGCGTTTTTTATTTTGTAATAATTGAGCATGAAATGTTATTTAGTTTGTTTAACATCAGGTGGATAATTAATAATTTGCACGTTCTTATGAGCATCTGTTATCTTTCGTTATAAACATTTTGCATTTTGGCTCGAGATTTTTATGAAAATCTTGCAGTCAGTGTTAGAACATTTTTTGAGATATCCATTTAATACACTCACTCAACTTCAGGTGACGTTGGTTCACCCGGTTATCAGGGGCCATCAGGCAGACCTGGCTCTCAGGGAGTTGCCGGAGTTTATGGTGCCACAGGAGCAACAGGATCTATGGGAAGTCCAGGATCGAATGGAGGTATGGGCGCAACAGGACCTCAGGGTCCTCCTGGTCAGTCCGGGGATCAAGGAAGTCCTGGATACATAGGAGTATCGGGATTCACTGGCAATACTGGTAGATATGATCCTCTACATTTTGCCTGACGATTAACAATTTTGTTGTTTTTAGTTCTAAAAAAAATTTTCTTGAAGAGTCTTAAAATTTTTCTACTACGATTCATATCTTTTTCTATTTCATGTGCATGTGTATTTAAAACAAGCGCACATCTCTTTCCAGGCAATACAGGACCCACGGGACCCAGCGGACAATCAGGGAACCCTGGTCCGTCAGGACAGATGGGACAGATGGGAGCATCAGGAAACACTGGATTGCCAGGTCCGCCTGGATTGCCAGGTTCTCAAGGTCAATCGGGATACAGGGGTCAACCTGGTTCAACTGGAAGTACTGGCCAGACTGGAAGCTCCGGATCTACAGGATATGTTGGTTAGGAAATTTTTTCGTTTTTTTTTTTTGCAATTTTTTATTTTCCTCAATCAATCAACTTGTATCGAATGTAACCTGATAAATTTATCGAGTAGAAAAAAAAATTTCAAACATTCTTATGGAATTAGGAAATTTTGAAGCTAGTAGTAGTAGTAGTAGTAACTCGGGTAGAAGTAATAAGGTACATCGTGAGAATAAATAAATAACGAAAAAATCGATCGCATGAAAATTACTGCAAATCAGAATGATTTAATTTCTCAGTAATATTTATAAATTGTCATTATTATTAATGGATAATTTTTATTTTATTATTCATTATTATTAATTTTTTAAGGTCAAACGGGAGCGACAGGGATGGCAGGGACTGGCGGACGTATGGGTAGCACCGGATTTACAGGACAAAGGGGTGCTACCGGATTGCAGGGTCCCAGAGGGCGCCTTGGGGCTGGAGTTGCTGGTAAGTTTATTCATTTTAGGGATTTTTTAAACTGTTTTATTCAATTTTGCGTTCTGATCATATACGAGGTTATAATTTATGTGGATAATATTATTATGATTGTTGTTGTTTGCTTTATTATTTTTTCAAATTTATTAAATGCTTATTATAGTTAAAATTTGAAAATAAATCATCATTCCCAAAAAACATTTTCATTACCATTTGAACCATCAACATCCACAACGACAACAACAACAACACCTACAGCAAATACACCATCAGCAAAATAATCACAACACCAACAACACCACAGCCCTGCAAGATGACCTAACTGGATCAAGCCAGCAGATCGAGATGAACTTGAAAAATCTGAGTGACACAGACAATCGTCTGAACATGATCATCATCGGTCTCGTCGTCTGGGCTGTCGTACTTACCATATCCGTCGTCGTCATGATCGTTGTTCTGGCCTACAGGTTCTCACTCCTCTACAAACGTATGTCTAGGAGGAAAAATAACCAGGCCAACTTCGGCGAAAAATCTCTCGATCAGATCGACACACAGGTGAAGACGACGACGACGATCTCAAAAAGCCCACAAGCCGAGGAAGAGAATAAGAAAACGTTCGCCAGACTGCGCGTTCAGAAGAGTAAAAAAGTGACTAAGCCGATCGAGGCCGTACCCCCTGGCCAACATTCCGTTACTATAAATAGTTTTCTACCCTCCACTAGGTCTACCAGTATCGCTGTCGACGTTTCAAAATTTGTATTTCCTAGTAGTGGGACGTCAAGTTTTTAAATAATTTCGTTAGCACTAGACGGCTTGCGCTATTTAAATGATGATCCTTTCCCTTAAAATATTTAATGAAAATAGTTTTACTACAGGCACTTGATATATCATTTTTCGTGATATATATCTCTCATGTGATACCATATATCATTTTTCGTGATATATATTTTTCATGTGATACCATATCAATTAAAAATTTCATTTCTTCCGTTTCATTTTTTTTCTTCTTATCATAGAATTCATCCATTTGTTTGTTTGTTTCCAAGGCGTTTGTTAGCTAACCCCCTGATACAATTCTTCTCATTATATTAATATAATCTAATAAATTCTAATAACCTAACATCAACCATATTGTTATCTGATATGAACGTAAGATGATAAATGTAACAATTGTACACTTCTGCTGAAACATATAATACATTTGTTTACCTACTGATAATAATATATCTATGCTTACAATGTGATTTTATTCCTACACACTGCAATGCAATATATTATATAGAGAATTAGTAGCTAAGCCTTTTAATATAGTAATAATTATGTTATTTTCGTAAAATTATTTTGTTATAATATATTATGATGTCAATTTATGTTATAATTAAAACATGTCGAGATTTTAAGTGTGAGGATTTTTAAATATACATGTATATTTCCTCTAATGTAACTATGCAATAGATGTAACACGATTTCTGATGTATTTGAGAAAAATTAATTTTTTTTATATAATTAAAATTTATTTTATGTTTAAATCGAAATGATTATCTCCTAAGTTTTAACTTATTTGGTTTATTTATAGATCATTTCTGTAGAATTTTATACTCTTGCCTTATTGAAAATTATACCCAAATTTTGAAATAGTACGTTGAAAGATTTGCTGTTAGTGGTATTTATTTATTATAGGTAGAAAATTTCACTAAATGTCTTTCAAAAGTTGTTGAAAAAAATTGTTATTTTTTATTATCTATTTCAACTATTTTCATTATTACCTAAATTGATTTATTTCAAATTGTTATCGAAGTGATATTTAGCGTTACTTAATTGTTCACTGCAATCATTTTTACAATAAACTAACATGTTTTTCTGCCCTGGCTGTCTTTATTTGTATATATATACGTGTGTATCTGTCTGTCGGTCTGTCTATCTATCTATCTGTCTGTCTGTCTGTCCATCTATCTATCTGTCTGTCTATAAATTATTGTTTTTATAAATCTATGAACTTTTCTCTTTTTATATTCATTTTCTGACTGCTATCATATAAAACTGGTTTAATACGTCTCCGGTTGCGGACATCTCGTTTTTAACGTGGATGTAGGGACTTTTACCCAGTATTTTAATCAGTTTAATCATTTTAAACTGCGAATTACCTAAAAAAATTAACCTAAATTTTTCTGGTGAATAGTGAACGACAGGATGAAATGATACTAAATGCTGTCGTATTAGGATGTCATGATTAAAATAACTTAAATAAGAAGTTAAATCGAAAATTAATGAAAAAAATTATTAAAGTTTAATATTTATAAACGTAACACATGTATATTTTGATATATTACATAAAACTGCTATTGTCAAATTTTAAATTAACATCTGAAACCCTGATACTCTATGGCTCATTAATGTTTAGTTTTAAAAATTGAATTCGTGTCCAATGCTTACTGCGTTAAATTCAATTTAATTTTTTTGTCGTATTAGTTCAAAAAAAGCGTTTTTTGTGTTTTAAATTAGGAATTTGAATAATTAAAAAAAGTTTTATATTTGCATAATTTTCTGTTTCGTTTGAATTGGTGAGTTAGTTACTAACACGTCATCACTGTCCGAGTACACATGGATGTGTTTTTTTAAGTTCACTTTTCAGATTATTTCTTTTTTTCTAGTGAAGTAGTCTATCACTTTTACGGATAACATTTCCTGATGTACTCCTAATTTTTCACTAATTTAGTTAGTTGTGCATTTAATTAGGGAATTTTGTGTTTGTTGTTATAATAGTTGTGTTTATAATTTTATATATCATTTTATTTCTATTTCTCGCATTTCTTTATTAGTTTATTTAAATTAATTAGGCATTTTATTAAAATTTTATTTTAAATAATTATAATAAAAATAAGCTTAATTATTATTTAATTTAATTTTTTAATTAAAAAGAAGCACCATAGTCAAATTTGTTATCACATAATAATGGATTGGTGGAAGACATTGATAATTGTTGGGGTCCTGGCATCATTTTGTCACCTTGCTCATTCAGTAGATCGGGGAAACTTCAAGACATGCCAACAAAGTGGATTCTGCAAGTTAGTGTCATTAGAAAGCAGACAACTTTCTCAAATATTCTAATTTGTTTAATTTAAATTTGTAAAATATGCTTTATTTTATTTATTTTTATTAAACCTACATTGCTTTACAGGTGGCTATTATTATTTTAAATTATATTTTACAAAAATAAATTTTAGACCAATTTATTCCTGTCATTTGAACTAATGCTAGTCAATAGAGAACACTAATTAAAATATGCATTATTTACTAATTATTTAGGAGGCAGAGAGACATTCCAGAACATGAAAGTCCTTACTATGTGGACCCCACCGCCTTGCAAATCTCTCAATCATCAGTCAAATTCCAACTTAACAGTCGATCACCAAAGGCAGCACCTTTAGCTGTCAGTCTATTTACACTAATTGATAATACGGTTAGGGTTAAAATTGACGAAGCATCCCCACTTGAGAAACGATATGAGGTCCCCGTTGGAGATGTGTTGACGTCTGAGCCCAAAGAGCAAAAGTTATTTTTTTGAATTTTAATATCTTTAGTTAGAATGTGTTTTTTCCACTTTTAAAATCATCATTATTATGATTTGCAGTTTTAAAATAATTGGCCGAGACAGTGGCAAGATGACTCTATCAACGGCCAACAATAATAACAAGGTGATCATCTACTTTGATCCCTTTCAAGTCAATCTGCTGGTCGATGAAAAATTAGTGACATCAATAAATAGCAGGGGATTGTTGAAAGTTGAACATCTGAGGAAGAGAAAGATGTAAGTAATTATTATTATCATTATTATTATTATTATTATTATTATTATTATTATTATTATTATTATTATTATTATTATTATTGGTAGTAGTAGTAGTAGTAGTAGTACTCCATTTTAAATAGTGAATGACATTTCAGCCATTTTTTCCCCTCTTTTAATAGAAAAGTTGAGAAGGAAGTTAAAATGGAAGAGACTGAAAAAGTGAGCGGTGCTTTTTTTTAATTATGCAAATTTATGCAATTATGTTAATTAGCTACCAGTGTTGATCAATTTTATGCTATTTCCTTGTCCGTATTGGCGATTTTTTGCTATAATATTGTAATTAAATATATTCATTTTGTATGATTATAAGTTATTCATTGTTATCTGATTGTTTACTATTAGTTTGAACTGTGTTTAACTTTAATTTATGTTAATTTATGTTGGTTAATTCTAATTACTTCAAAACATAAAGCCTGAAGGTGAAGGCCAAGGCGAGCAGCAACAAGCTGAAGCAGCTGAGAACAACAACAACAACAATGATAACGAAAATAAGAATGATGATGATGATGATAATGATGATGAAAACGATGATGATGATGATGCTCCTGACATGTGGGAGGAAACATTCAAAACCCACACCGATACCAAGCCTAAAGGTATTACTTCAAATTCATTCTGTTTGATTTATTTTAATGATTATGGTGATGGTGATTGATCGATCAATTGACTGACCAATCAATCATTATCCCGGCCATTATTATCTTATCAGCATTCTTCTTCTTTATCATTATCATCATTTGAATCATCGTCATCATCATCATCACTGTAATCTCATCATCAGCGAGATCAGTACCATCATCATCATTATCTTCGCTATCATCATCATCGTCATCTTCACCAACATCATCATCATCAGGACCAACATCAGTGGGGTTGGACATATCGTTTCCTGGTTTCCAGCATGTTTACGGCATTCCAGAGCATGCCGACTCATTTGCCCTCAAGAGCTCCAAGTTATTATTATTGTTGTTGCTATTGCTGTATTGTTGTTGTTGTTGTTGTTGTTATTATGATTGTTGTTGTTGTTGTTTTTGTCGTTGTTGTCGTCCTTGTTGTTCAAGTTATTATTGTTGTTATTGCTGTACTGTTGTTGTTGTTATGATTGTTGTTGTTGTTTATTGTTGTTGTTGTCGTCGTCGTTGTCGTTGTTGTCGTTGTTGTTGTTGTTGCTGGTGTTGTTGTTCATCACCTTTTCTGTCATAACCATTGTTGTCATAATCGATCATCATTATTGCTATCATCATCTTCTTCTTCAACATCATTGTCACAAACATCATCATCCTCATCATCATCATCTTTTTCTTCACCATCATCACATACATCATCATTATCATCACGATCGCCAGGAATACAGACCCGTACAGGTTGTACAACCTGGACGTGTTTGAGTATGAGCTGTACAATCCAATGGCTTTATATGGAAGTGTGCCATTTATGCTAGCTCACAAGTAAGAAGGAACATTTGTTCGTTTATTCATTCATTCGTTCATTCATTCGTTCATTCATTCATTCGTTTGTTTGTTAGTTCGTTCATTAATTTGTTCATTCAAGCAAGTAGTTATTTTTCTTTATCCAAATGCATGAGTACATTTATTTGTTCAATCATTCATTCGTTCATTTACTCCAGCCAGTTAATATTTTTCATCTAACTACTCATTTATTTGTTTATTCATTTTTATCTTTCATTCATTCATTCATTTGTTCATTCATTCATCCATTCATCCATCCATTCATTCATTCATTATTTTGAATTTTGAACACAGCGCATTGAACACAGTTGGTCTGTTTTGGTTGAATGCTGCTGAAACATGGATTGATGTCTACTCCAATATTGCCGACAAAGTATGCGTGTGCTTGCGTGCGTGTGTGTGTGCGTGTAGATGTAAAACACACACACTCAGATATTCACACTTAGAAGCGCATTTCACTTCCACTCTAGAATGTCTTCTCAAAGTTGGTGGAGTTCGTGAAGGGTGACCAGGAGATCCCCCTGATCGATACCCACTGGTTCTCCGAATCCGGAATCATTGACGTCTTCATACTCCTCGGACCCCAGCCTAATGACGTCTTCAGGCAGTACGCCAAACTGACCGGAACTACGTCACTTCCGCCGGTTGTACTAACTAGTGGTTGTTGTGGTCGCGTTTTTTTTTAACTTTTGTCCTTGTTTGTTATGTAAGGTTGTGTTGTTTGTGTTGTTTGTTGGGCTGTTTGCTTTGCTAACTTGTATCTTTTCTCTTCTTTCCCTTCTTCTTCTTATTATTATTATATTTTTATAATATTATTATTATTATATTTATTATTATTGTTCATTTTATTTTTTTATTATTTTACATCTGCAGTTATTTGCATTAGCATACCATCAGTCGAGATGGAATTATAACGATGAACAGGATGTCTTCAAGTTTGTAGATTGATCGATCGATCGAGTCATTCATTCATGAATTCATTCATTTATTTATTTTTTCATTTATTCATTCATTCATTCACCCTTTCTGTTTCTCTCTCGATAAATTCTTCATTTGCTCATTTGTTTCATCAGTAATTCATTCATTAGATCGTCCATCTATCCATTAATTCTTTTATTTGTCTATTTATCTATTCATTCGTTCATTCATTCATTCATTAATTCATTCATTCATTTATTCATTCATTCATCTAACTCGAATGCAGCGTCAATGATGGATTTGACGAGAATGACATACCATTGGATGTTATCTGGTTGGATATTGAACACACAGTTGGAAAAAAGTCAGTAGTAGTAGTGATGGTAGTAGTAGTAGTAGTAGTAGTAGTAGTATTAGTAGTAGTAGTAGCAGCAGCAGTTGTAGTAGTATTAGTAATTATAATTATGTTAATAATTATTCGTGTTGTTAAAATTATGAGTTCATCTCTTCATTCATATTTTCATTCATTTGTTCATTCATTTTTTGTCTACTGTTTCACTTATTTGTTCCTTTATCTGTCCATTCATTCACTCGTTCGTTCATTCATTCATGCTTTCATTCAATTATCATTCATTCATACATTCATTCATCCATTCACTTCATTCGCTGTGTTCCCAACAAATGTTCCCAACCAATGAAACTTCAGATACTTTACATGGGACTCTGACAAATTCCCTAACTCGGTCGGAATGTTGGACAGACTGGCCGCCAGGGGCCGCAAGATGGTGACCATAGTGGACCCCCACACCAAACGCGAGGATGGTTATTTCCTATACTCGGACGGGAAGGCGAACTCGTACTTTACCAAAGACAGGCAGGGCAATGATTTTGAAGGGTGGTGCTGGCCAGGTTTGTATTGGCTGGCTGGTTGGTTGGCTGGTTGGTTGTTTGCTGGATTATGATTGGTCGGTTATGATTTTAGGGCGGAGTTAGGTTTGGTTGTTGAATTGTGATTGGAGTGTTGATTGAGGATGGCGATGATTGGATTATCATCATGTGATTATTCGCTGTAATAGTTTCGATCATTTTATCAGTACAACTGAGTTTGCCAGAATCGTCTTTAATTACAGCACATCGTCGTTGTCATCATTGTCATCTTTATCTTTACGGTCATCTTTATTCCTAGCGTCATCATCATTATCATCACCACCATCGTCATCGTTATCAGGATCATCCAGCTGGCTGGATTTCACCAGGGAAGATGTGAGGAGGTTCTGGTCATCTATGTTTTCGTATGATAATTATAAGGTTGGTTGGTTGGTTGGTTGGTTGGTTGGTTGATTGGTCGATTGGTTGGTTGGTTGGTTGATTAGTTGGTTGATTAGTTGGTTGGTTGATTGATTCATTGATTCATTGATTTAAGATATCCATCTACTGTAAAAATGTTTTTCTTTCATCCGTTATCTTTTATTAATATCACCTCAATCATACACAACACCGAACATGCACACACACACACACACACACCAACTCACGAACTAACACAAAGGGTTCCACAAAGGACCTCTTCATATGGAATGACATGAACGAACCATCTGTCTTCAACGGCCCTGAGATAACAATGCCCAAAGATCTGCTGCACAACGATGGCTGGGAGCATAGGGACATCCATAATATATATGGATTATATGTCGTTAGTGGGTTGTTAGGTAGGGTGGGGATATTCGGGTTTGCCTTTTTTATGGGGGGGATATCTTGTAATGCATGTTTTGCAATTGTAAGCGGAGGTAATGTTTGTTTAGGTGGTGTGGAGATATAAATGTTTACCTATTTTTGTCATCATCATCATCGTTGTTGTCTCATTTAACGTCATCATCGTCATCATCTCAGTCACTGTCTTCATCCTCACAGTCACCATCATCTTCATCCAGTCATCATCATCATCATCATCTTAGTCATCTTGATTCGTTATCGTTATCGTCATTCAGCATCGAGCGACGTATGAAGGTCTGTTGGAGAGATCGGAGAATCACGATCGACCATTCGTTCTGTCCAGGGCATTCTTCGCCGGGTCACAGAGATACGGTTAGTTGGTTGGTTGGTTGGTTGGTTGGTTGGTTGGTTGATTGATTGATTGATTGGTTGATCAATTAGTTGACTGGCTGATTGATTGATTTTGATTGATTGATTCGCTTGCTGGCTGGCTGGCTGATTAATTTATAAACTATTGTAACTCGTAGCAACCCATCAATCAATCAACCGCCCAACACTAACAACCACCAACCGAACGAACGAACGAACAGGTGCCGTCTGGACGGGCGACAACACAGGGGAATGGGAGCACCTGAAAGTAACCATCCCCATGCTACTTTCACTGAGCGTGACGGGCATCACATTCTCAGGAGCCGATGTTGGCGGGTTTTTCAAGAGCCCGGATGCAGAATTACTCACCAGGTGGTATCAGGCTGCCGCTTTTCAGCCCTTTTTTAGGGCCCACGCCCACTTGGACACCAAGAGACGAGAGCCCTGGTTGCTACCCCGCGAGAATATGCTCGCTATTCGTCAGGCCATCAGGATTAGATACATGCTTCTCCCTTACTGGTTAACTCTTTCGTTGTAGTTTCGGCGATTTGTTTGTTGTCGTTTTCGCTGTTGTTGTTTAATAGTTTTTTGGAGGTTTAACTCATGTTATGTGATGTTGCTCGTGTAAAATGGCTTAGGAGTGACTGTTGAGTGAATGTTAGAAACATCTTCATCAAAAACCGTTGAATGAATTAAATGTGTTTCGGTTTTTGTTATCACTGTTTCCGTTGTTGTTCAGATGTTGTTCGACATAATGCTCACTCTAAAACCAGGTACACCCAGTTTTTCAACTCTGAGAAAGATGGCGCTCCAGTTATGAGGCCATTGTGGGTGGAATATCCGTCTGATGTCAAGACGTTTGGTCTTGATGATCAGCATATGATTGGTTGGTTTTGTTGTGCCCTGCTCTGATTGGCTGTGTATTGCCATTGTGCCATGTCGTGTTATGATTAAAATAGTTACATTTGGTTATTGGGTAAATTGCTTGTTTTTTGTTGTCATCTTTATCATCACTATCATCACTCCACATCGTCATCATCAGGACCAGCCATCCTGATCAAGCCAGTTGTGGACCAGGGCAGTGTGGGGATAAACGTCTACTTGCCAGGAGGGGCACACGAACTCTGGTACGAGTTCGATTCCTACGCTGCCTACCACGGCGGCCAGGACCTCTACGTCCCTGTACATCTGCAGAAGATTCCCGCCTTTTTACGCGGTGGCCATATTGTTCCGGTTAGAGAAAGAGTCAGGCGATCCAGCGTGCTATCCGCGCACGATCCCTACACTATTGTCGCCACTTTGGACGCCAGAATGTCGGCTACAGGCGACCTCTACCACGACGACTTCCACTCGAATGAGTACAAAAACGGCAAGTTCGTACACAGGCGGTTCACTCTGGAGAACATGTCTACCTTCACCAGCGTTGATTTGAACAAAGGAAGCGGCCGTAGTATGATCACCGACGCCTGGATCGAGAAGATACTGATACTCGGAGTCAAGCAGAACCCTTCCAGGGTGACCTTGACCTCTCAAGGTCAGCATCCGGTCAATCTCGTGACGTCGTATTCGAGCCAGCTGAAGGTGCTAACGATTAGGAAGCCGGCTGTTAATATAAATGCGGATTTTAAGATTCTCTTTCATTGATAGTAATTGATGCTAATTGGATAAGGTGAAATTGGTAATTCGATTTTATTGTTAATATTCATACACACAGGTTATCATTATTATTATTATTGTATATCATTAAAATTATTTGTTTATTATTATTAATTTTGTTTTTTTATTTATAATTGTGGTTGTTGTTATTATTATTTATTGTTATTTTTATTACTATTGTTGAGTTATGTGCTTGTTACAATGGCACAGCATGTTTATCTTATGTTGCATTAGATTTTATTTGAAACAATCCATTCGTCTATCAAATTTTCAAATTAGTTTAATTAATTAATTAAATTAATTAATTAAATAAATTAATTATTTGTTATTATGTTATATTTATTAGATTTGTCTTTATCATTTGTTGTCTTTATCATTTTCATCACAAGTTTTTAAAACCTAATATTATATACATATATGTATGAGTGTATATGTTAATATGTATGTAATTGTATGTATGTATATGCGTATATATATGTGTATATATATATAATATATATATATAAAGGTTTTAGATTTTTATATATAGCAAGTAATTTATATCAATATATATATATACACAAATGAGAAATACATGTATGTATAAATATATTGGAAATGTTGTATGTAGTATTATGTGTGTGTGTGTGTGTTTGTTTGTGTATGTGTATGTATGTATGTATGTATTTAGGTTCATCTATTGGTCATTGGAAGCATAAATTGTATTTATTGCGCTTTGTTATTAAATTTCATTCAATTGTTTATTACTTACTCAATTGAATGATTGATTGATTGATTGATTGATTAATTAATTAATTAATTGAATGATTGATAAATTAGTTATTTAAAGATGATGGTGGTGGTTTTGATTGATTGATTGATATTACGATTATTTGATTAAGGAAATTGTAATGTGAAGTAGTTCTTTTATTTGAATGAATGAACGATTGATTGATTGATTCATTGATTAGCTTATTAATTAATTTACCGAACTAATTGGTAAAAAAATTTCTAATTAGCCTTAACTTGTTATTTTAAAATCTTCACTGGACCGTCACATGCATGCTTGGGGGGCAAATGTTACACAAAAAAACAACAACAATAATAATAATAATAATAATAGTTATAATAATATCATTAAAATATTATAAAGAATAAAATAATAATAATAATATCATTATAAACTTTTTTGTTATTTCAAAGTATTGCAAAATTGATATGTAGAGAACCATTGACAATAACAAATGATCTTTCGTATGTATGTGTTTTATATAGGGTTGTTTTAACATTGGCTATAATTTGTATTATTATTATTATTTATTAATATTATTTACACATTATTATTATTTTCATCCAATTCATCGGGTTTACTATGTGACGAGGGTATATCTATCGACCAAATATCATTGGAGGTAGAATCGTTATTATTATTATTATTATTATTAACATTATTATCATTATTATTAGTAGAAGTAGTAGTAGTGTTGCTATTAGTTGTAGAATTAGTAGTAGCAACAACGGAGGTAGTATTTTTAAATTTAAGATAGTTTAAGATGTCTTTTATTTTCATTCTACTCTTCTTTATTTGTCGGTATTTGTTCGTATCACCCGACTCCTTCCCTACAATGTCGGTATCGGAGTTGGCACATTCACTAGCGCTGCTGCTATCCGTCGATATATCGATAGTCGGATATTCGATCCGACTCAGCTGCTTCCTCCGACTGACTATTCGCTGTCGCGTTCGAACGAATACCGTCGAGGTAATCAGAATCGCTAGTATCGTACAGAAATACAGAATTGAAATGCAAATACAGATCGCATTGTATGGTGGTGATACCATGAGTAACGATAGCAGTACGCCGTATGAGGGGTTGGGCGTAATTACTTGAACAACTATTGTGGCCGAGGTTTTGATGTCTCTGACGGATAGATACGAAATGGTGAATATCGTCAGACCTGTTGGTAATATTGTAGTATGGTGGGAATAATGTGGTCATTGCTTGGTAGGTAAGTTGAATGAATGATTGAGTGATTTGGCGGATGAGTTATTAATTAATTGATTGAATGGTTGATTGATTGGTTTTTTGAATGAATGATTGAGATTGATTCCATTTAAATAGTTCATGAAATAATCGTTAAAATCATCCCCATACCTCCAATTATTGGCAGAATAACCGGCCCAAGAACAGAATTCCAAATCCTTCCATACGCCAGGACCCAAGTTTGATCAATCAACATAAGAATAGTCATACTAACCACCCAAACAAACCCAATAGCCCTGATGACGACCGTCAAAATGGCGGCAACTTTGGGAAAATATTTATTAATAGTCATCCCGATCAGTCCCGGGATGATGTATAGGGATTTCAGGATTAGAAATTCCTTCCATGGGAAGTAGAACTGATAATCCTGAAAGGCTCTTTTCAGGATATAGCTCCCTGCTGTACATATCCAAGCTGGAATCATTACTGCGTGTGTGTATATCTTTGTGTGTGTATGTGTGTGTGTTTCTCTCTCTGTGTGGTGTGTGTATGTGTGTGTAACAGAGAACATTATACAAACCTATACCCAGAATAGGCATAAGTAAGAGTGCAAGGATGTTAAGGTTGAGTCTGGCTTTGATGAGAATGGTGCTGATGTTTGAGAAAGCTCCGCTAGAGGCGGACGACATGCTGATGAATATGAACTGGAATGCCGCATTCGGGCTTAAGATGATGTTTAACAAAAACGCCATCTGCATTGTGGAGAATATGTTAAAGGTATTTTTGTATTGTATTGTTTGGTATTGTATTGTAATAATAGCAATAATAATAATATTAATAATAATAATACATAAAATGATAATGTAATACTCGTCGGCGAATTAATTAATAAGCAAGGATTTGTTAATAACGAGGAAGAATAATGAATTATCAATAGATCATCATGATCGTGTTATAAGTAGCTACTTGAATTAATCACCGCCTTGTCTCTGTCTCTCTCTTTTCTCTTTCTCTCCATCTCTCTTTCTCTTACTTTTTTTACTTTCTTTCTTTCTTATAAGGTAAACCATTAAAAAACACCAAAAAAACCGACTTTCTTTCTTATAAGGTAAACCATTAAAAAACACCGAAAAAACCGACTCTAACCGCTGGTAAAAGAAGGTACTGGCCGCACGCGATTATTCCCAACTCGACCGGTTTTTTGAGAAATGGCATGGCGTCGGATCTTTTTAAAGTTAAAGAAAACCCGAATATGTTTACCGCAAATCCGACAAACATACCGAACATGGGAAACAAACCGAATTTACTCGGTGGCGGTGTAACGACGAGGGTGATGTTCCAGGTGTATATTATTTCATCTGGAAAAATTACGATGAATTTTACAGTTTTGTACTGAACAATAATAATAATATTACAAATAATTAATAATATTATAACTAAAATGAATAATAATAATATAACATATAATTAATGATATTATGACAAAAATGAAATAAAATTACTCGTCTCGGTATCGTAAACGGTATTAGTTACGATTCCTTTTCCCACCCATTTCCCAGTTATTTTTAGTTCCATCGCTTGTGTGTGGTTTGTTAAGGTTAGGTTTTTTAGACCTGTGAATGATTGTTTGTTCGTCTTCTCCATAACCGAATACCCAGTCGATTCGTAATCGGATCTACCCGTACTAGGATCGGTATTCGTTACGTCATTCGCATATACGAATTCCGATTTTCTATTTAGTGTTTTTGAATTGAAGCCAGAATTGGACATACCAATGCCATAGTTGAATAACAGTTTTTTAAATGGTATTTTTGATTTAAATTCGGTACTCGATAATTTATGTTCATTCTCGGTTATAATCGATTTTTTAACCGGTTGTTTCTCCTTTTCAAATAGTTTTACCGATATATCGGCCAAATCTTCCGGATATAAGATATTAATCGAGACGCTAGTTCTGTTGGTGTTTTTGATGTTGGAGGAAAAGTTTATTGTAGTTGTTAACGTCTGTTGAAATTGAACTTTCAACATTTTGGGGAGTGCTACGTTTACTGCAACAAATTTTTTTGTTGATGTTTCTGTTGATGTTTTTGTTGATGTTGTTGTTGCTGATGTTGACGTCATCAGCAACATAATCATCGTTATCATCATATTTGTACGGCGAGTTTTCAAAATATTAAAAAAAACAATTTATACTGAATGATACTATGTTCATTCATTCGTTCGTTCATTCACTCAATCATATATTTACTTTTTTAATTATTAAATTATTTATATATTTGTTCACTCGTTTATTCATTTATTTAAATGCCATTCATTTGTTCATTCGTTCGTTCGTTCATCCATATAAACGAACGAACCAACAGACGAACGAAAGATCGTTGCGGTTAATTATTTCAATTATATAATATTATCAATATTAATAAAATTAAAAATATAAATAAAATGAAAATAATAGTAATTTTTTTGAAAATGAGAAAAAATCTAAATTAATCAAGAGACGAAAAAAAATTTCTATCTAAGCTTGAGACTACTTCAATTTATACGACATATCAGCCATCAAAAACTTAAAGCCGCTGAATCGCATGGTTATAGTTACTATAATTATAATATTAATAATTATTATCATATTTATTTTATTTTGTTATTATTTATTATTATCATCATATTATTACGTTATTAATACTACTTCATTATTATTATTGCTGCTGTTGGCTCTTATTTCTACCAGATACTGCTATTCTCTGAAATTAAATTTCAGATGTTCTTAAGAATTTTTATTAGAAGAATCTTTATGAGTTATGTAATAATTCTTTCTTTCTCTCTCTCTACTCTTTTTTTTCTTATTCTCTTTCATTCTTCTTTTTTTTCTCTTTCCTCTCTCTCTCTCTCTCTCTCTCTCTCTCTCTCTCTCTCTCTCACCAGCTTTTACACTTAAACAAGTTTAGACATATGTTGTCTGCGAAGATTCATTCAAATGGAATTCTTTCATTGACGGTGTTTTCTTCATTGTTCGTCATTTTTTCACAAATATAAACATAAAACATACACAAACAAACAAACAAACATGCATACACATATACAAACGCGCACATACAAACACACACACACACACACACACACACACACACATACAACCATACTCGTTCGTTAAAATTTAAATTGTCAGTACTTAACTTCATTAAATTAATTATTACACTTCTAGGCTAAATTATTGCGGTAGAGAAGTGAAGTAATATTGAAAAGAAGTAGAAAATATTATATTCTTATTATATTTTTATTGCTATTGTTGTTGTTGTTGTTGTTGCCGTTGTTGGTATTGTTGTTGTTGATGTTGTTGGTGCTGTTGTTGATGATGTTGTTGTTGGTATTGTTGTTGTTGCTGTTGTTGTTGTTGTTGATGTTACTATTGTTTATTATTATTATTATTATCTAAAATTGTTATATTTATTGTTAGTGTTGAAAGAACACTTGAAGTATATAGCGCTTAGAAATTAGAATGTTTAAAAATTATTTTTCCACACAAGTGACGCCAATAAAAATAAAAATAATAACACGAAGAAGAAGAATAAAAAGAATACAAATGGAAGAAAAAATCGTTAATAAATTGCTATTATTATTATTATTATTATTATTATTATTATTATTGTTATTATTATTGTTGTTATTATTAAATGATTTCTAAGAAAAAAAAATATTTATTTGACTGCTCTTATGATGCCGAATTTTAAATGATTGGACGGTTTATTGTTTTATTGTTATTATTATTATTATTATTATTATTATTATTATTATTATAATTTATTACTGTTAGGAATGTTGTAGCGGGGAGGCTAATGAAATTTATGAGACAGAACTAGCAGGTAACATCAAAATTAATAGTAAAAGTTTTTTCAACTATGTGAGGGGTAGGTAAAAACACAAAGACAAGATAGGCCCTCCCTTCCAACTGCGGATGGCATCGTTACTGATGACCACCGAAAAATGTCGGATGTTCTTAACTCTTATTTTAGTTGTCTATTTACAAAAGAGATTTTTACATCTCAGCCAAAACCCTTTAATGGTGATGAAATAATTGTCTTAGATGATGCGACAATTGCGAAGAAACAGAAAGTCGATGAACGGCAGAGACTGAAAGAAGATAAAAGCCCCGGAATATGAGAGAGGACATTGCGGAAGCACTGCTAACACTTTTCAATAAATGGTTGTCAACGGCTGAAATACCATCAAATTGGAAAGATGCAATCGTAGTGCCACTCTTCAAGAAAGGAGATCTTTCTCATACCCAGGAAATCATAGTTGAAATGATATGCGCAGAAAGAACTAACAACTTTGAAGCAAACTTGGCATAAAGTAGGATGTTAAAAATAAGTCTCAGAGTGGTTCTGTCACAGACTTAGTCTACTTGCATCACTATAACAAATCTTTGTTATGCTATATATGCTAGATATTTGTTATTATTTGCTATTTCGATTTGTTTCTTATTATTATTATTATTAATTTTTTGATATTCGATTCTAACGATTCTACTTCTCTTCGCTGTTAAATATTATGAGAAAATCTTACCGGATTTAATGAAAAATATACATTAATATGGGAAATTTAAACGCGAAAGTGCTAGAAAAAAAATCAAACATCATCACCATGATCACCGTTTTATGCGAGTATCATCATCATAACCATCATCATCATAACTATATATATATATGTATATATATGTGTGTATATATATATATATATATGTATAAGTATATATATATATATATATATATATATATAGGGAATGATTAAGTCCTATTTTATTTATTATAAATCATCGACCCAATAAGTTACTCGTAAACCATAAATTATATATAAAAATATATTAAAGTATTTAATGCATATATATATATAATATATATAAAATATATATCTATATATGTATATATGTATATATAAATATATATATAATATATATATATATGTATATATAATACCAATTTATCATTAATATATGTAGTTGACGATGATGATGATGACGACGATGATGATGATGATGATGATGAGGATGATGATAGTCACGATTAGTGTAATTAGGATTTTTTAATTTAAAAATACAAACGTCGATAATAATGGATTGATAGATAGATAGATAGGAAGAATGAAAGAATGAATGAAAAAGTAGAAATAATACATTGGGAAAAATATAAAATCCTTATATGTATATGTATATATATATATATATATATATATATATATATATATATATATATCAGTGAATATAGTGTAAGTCTTAATGAAATTTAATGCTAAAATATGTCTGTCTGTAACAAGTTTGTGTTGTGTTTGTCTCTTTGTGTATATGTTTGTGTGTGTATATATATATATATATATATGTGTGTGTGTGTGTGTGTGTGTGATGTGTGTGTGTATGTGTGTGTGTTTGTGTGTATTTGTATGCGGAATGTCAAGACGAAACGGATGTTGCAATGAATTAAATAGTGTTGCCAAGTTAGCGGCAACAATTATAACGCAGTACTAGGAAATAACAAATCGAAATAACAACGATAACAACAACGCAGCAACAACACCAAATAATAATGATAATAATAATAATGTTAATATTAATAATAATTATTATAGTAAGAGTAATAATGATAATAATTATTATTAAAATAATAAAAGTAATAATAATCTTATTCGTGAATTACTTTTAAAATTGTGTCTCAATTGATTAATTGAA